TATGTTTGTGATTGTGTGTGTGTGTGTGTATGTATGTATGTATGTATGTGAGGGTCTGTGATCGATTGTCTGTGTATGTATGTGATTGTATGTGTGTGTGGTTTGTGATTGTGTATTTATGTGACTGTGTGTATAGGTATATGATTGTATGTGTGTGTCGGTCTGTGATTTTGTGTGTGTGTGTGTGTGTGTATAGGTCTGTGATTGTATGTGTGTCTCTGTGGTTATGTGTGCATATGTATATACATGGTAAGGAGTATATGGAAAGGAGAGACAGCGCTAATTAATAAACAGGCAGCAACCTTAAAAAGGGAAACCCTCCAAGCCCTTTTAAAACAAGACAGTAAAAACAATAATAAAAGGCTGCGCCAATAAGAGAGTAAAAATAGAGTGACTAAGAAAAAATGTCCAACGTAATAGATAAAAAAAATAAATAAAAGTTCAACTTAAGTGTCCTTGCGGATAGTCTTTATAGTAAGTGTTGCAGCAGTGAAGTCTTCATAAGCTGTATAGGTTCCACTCATATAAAAGACAAAAGGGGAGAGAGAAGGACGACCAGTAGTGCAGTATTGTATAATTCCAAAAGTGACGTATGGAAAGATAATATTAAACAACTCACATTTAATAGAGCTTATGTCCAGCTCTAGGATAGAAGCGCATACAGCGGTATAATCCCCGCTTGTGGGATATGCTGTGGGTTTCTCTCCGTCAGTGGTGTCCAATTCTCAAACAAGGAAAAAGAGAGACAACCGATAGTGCTCACTATTTAAGTAGTCTTAATATAAGTAGATGAAAACGTACTTACAAATGAGGAGCAGACCAACTGCTCTTGTGTATCAGCATAGGTGGATTGATCCCCACCTTTAGGATTTCTTGGAGTGCAGGAGACTTCCGAAGTCAGTGTTGGTATATAGTAGTAAAATGCTAAAAATATACTAAAATATACTAAAAAGCCAGGTATAAAAAGAGTAATGTGTATATAAAACTATAAAAAAGAATAGTTGGCACAAATAAATTACCAAAAATTGCTTTAATATTACAATACACAGTATAAAATATCCATAACGCGTTTCGTCAACAGACTTTATCAAATGGAATAGCAAACATTACCTGGCTAGTTGTATTATATAGGAGTTTAAATTTGGCGCCAAAAATGGTCCATCCAATCAAACTTAAGTTACATTTGACAGTATAAAAACTTTAAAATACAGCAATAAAACCAAAGTATAGGGTCTAAGAACACTCATAATTGACTTTGATGACCAAAACGAAGGTTTTAAAAGCATAAATTAAATGATTAAAAATGCGCAAGTGACGCGCGGCACTTCCGGTTTTCGGACTATATGCCGCTATGCTTTATGGGAGATGTAGTTGGTAAGCCGCGAATGGCGGCTAGGAGTGTAATATAGGTGCTGCCAAATATTGGGGGACATAGAAGCAAGAGCCCACAAAGAGGGCAAAAACTAAAATACATTAGACACTCTGCTAGTAGAAATGAAAGTATTAAAAGCATAAATTCAGCAAATGAAATAAAGCACGTGACTTACGGCACTTCCGGTATTTGGACAAAATGCCGCTATGCTTAGTGGGAAATGTAGTCGGCTGAAGATAAGCTCGATCAAATTAAAGGGACATGAAAACAAAAGTTCCCAAAAAGGGAGCTCTATATAAGAAAGAGATGGCAAAATTAAAAGGGACATATAATTGGTGGGGACATATACTAAAGGGGCACATGTATATGAAATATAAATAAAATAAATTAAGAAATAATAAAACAATTTTGTAAATGCAGAAAATCATAAATAAAAAATACAGTTTGAGCAAGGTAAAAGGTATTGGTGTAAAACAGACATGTAAAATACTTTTGTGTTACAAAAAATTATATAGGTCAAAGTCTGCATTAAGGCCATGGGGTATAAGGGTCTTAAGGTTATACACCCATTCCATTTCTATTTTCCCAAGTAGTTTTTTTATGTCTCCTCCTCGCCAGGGGGTAGAACATTTTTTTTATACCAATACATTTTAGAAGTTTAGGATCTTTGTTATGCATAATAAAATGTTTGGATACTGTATGATTTAAGTATCCATTTTTGATATTTCTGCAATGTTCGCTCAATCTTGTTTTTAAGCACCTTGTGGTCATCCCCACATATTGGAGACCACATGGGCATTCGAACAGATAAATAACATTTTTAGTATTGCAGCCGATAAAATCATAAATATTATACATTTTTTTAGTCTTATTGGACATAAACTGAGTAATTTTAGATGGGGTAGATGGATCTGTGGTTCTACACACTATGCATTGTTTGCATTTATAAAAGCCTTTTGTTTGTGGGAAGAAAGAAAAACCCCTAACTGGCGATTCTCGAGTAAAATTGGTGGTTAAAATGGATTTAAAATTTGGTGCCCCTCTAAACACGATATTTGGTTGGTTGGGTAAAATTGAGTTTAAAATATCGTCTTCTTTAAGTATATGCCAATGTTTTTTTATAATTTTTTTGACATTATTACTTTTGCTATTGAAGTTAAAAATAATAGGAAGAGATATTGATTCATCCTTTTCTTTATTCTTATAAGTCAGAAGATCTTTTCGTTCTTTTAAAATACAGCAATAAAACCAAAGTATAGGGTCTAAGAACACTCATAATTGACTTTGATGACCAAAACGAAGGTTTTAAAAGCATAAATTAAATGATTAAAAATGCGCACGTGACGCGCGGCACTTCCGGTTTTCGGACTATATGCCGCTATGCTTTATGGGAGATGTAGTTGGTAAGCCGCGAATGGCAGCTAGGAGTGTAATATAGGTGCTGCCAAATATTGGGGGACATAGAAGCAAAAGCCCACAAAGAGGGCAAAAACTAAAATACATTAGACACTCTGCTAGTAGAAATGAAAGTATTAAAAGCATAAATTCAGCAAATGAAATAAAGCACGTGACTTACGGCACTTCCGGTATTCGGACAAAATGCCGCTATGCTTAGTGGGAAATGTAGTCGGCTGAAGATAAGCTCGATCAAATTAAAGGGACATGAAAACAAAAGTTCCCAAAAAGGGAGCTCTATATAAAAAAGAGATGGCAAAATTAAAAGGGACATATAATTGGTGGGGCCATATACTAAAGGGGCACATGTATATGAAATATAAATAAAATAAATTAAGAAATAATAAAACAATTTTGTAAATGCAGAAAATCATAAATAAAAAATACAGTTTGAGCAAGGTAAAAGGTATTGGTGTAAAACAGACATGTAAAATACTTTTGTGTTACAAAAAATTATATAGGTCAAAGTCTGCATTAAGGCCATGGGGTATAAGGGTCTTAAGGTTATACACCCATTCCATTTCTATTTTCCCAAGTAGTTTTTTTATGTCTCCTCCTCGCCAGGGGGTAGAACATTTTTTTATACCAATACATTTTAGAAGTTTAGGATCTTTGTTATGCATGATAAAATGTTTGGATACTGTATGATTTAAGTATCCATTTTTGATATTTCTGCAATGTTCGCTCAATCTTGTTTTTAAGCACCTTGTGGTCATCCCCACATATTGGAGACCACATGGGCATTCGAGCAGATAAATAACATTTTTAGTATTGCAGCCGATAAAATCATAAATATTATACATTTTTTTAGTCTTATTGGACATAAACTGAGTAATTTTAGATGGAGTAGATGGATCTGTGGTTCTACACACTATGCATTGTTTGCATTTATAAAAGCCTTTTGTTTGTGGGAAGAAAGAGAAACCCCTAACTGGCGATTCTCGAGTAAAATTGGTGGTTAAAATGGATTTAAAATTTGGTGCCCCTCTAAACACGATATTTGGTTGGTTGGGTAAAATTGAGTTTAAAATATCGTCTTCTTTAAGTATATGCCAATGTTTTTTTATAATTTTTTTGACATTATTACTTTTACTATTGAAGTTAAAAATAATAGGAAGAGATATTGATTCATCCTTTTCTTTATTCTTATAAGTCAGAAGATCTTTTTGTTCTTTTTGTTTAACTGTATTAATTGTGTTATTGAGCTCTGATTCTAAATATCTTTTTTCCATAAATTTATTTTTTAGGATATTAGCTTGTTCATTAAAATCTGTTATTTCTGAACAGTTCCTACTAAAAGTCTATTTCATACCAGAGCTAGGTCCATATAGCTCTGGAATAAGTAAGTGTTCCATTATTGTACATACTGTGTATATATCTGAGGGGTTTTACACTATATTTGTTTTATTTATGTTAAAGGTATAAATCAAGAAGGTCCTCAAAATTGAACCACTACATAAGTTAAGTGTTTTGTCTAGCCCTTTACAGGCTCTCTTTACTTATATAGAAGAACCAGGACAATTGTGTTATAATAAGCGCTCCACTATTCGTTTTCCTTAAATGGTTTGAAAAAGCAGCTAATGACAAATCTGCTTTAAAAGGATCACTATGGGGTCAGGAACACAAACATGTATTCCTGACCCTATAGTGCTAAACCCACCTTATTTCCAGCGCTGCGCGGGTCCAGCCCCCTTTGTGACATCAACAAAATAGCAGATTTTTTTAGCCAATCCAATGTTTTCCTATAGGGAAATTTTTTAGCTAATCAGGACCTCCTCACAGAGATTCATTAAATCAATGCATCCCTATGAGGAAAATTCAGCGTCTCCATGCAGATCGTGGAGACGCTGAATTGCATGGCTGCTTACTGTGCAGCCCTGAGCCAGGAAGCCCCTCCAGTGGCCATGTGGAAGTGTCCATAGGGGCAATGTAAACACAGCCTTTTCCCTGAAAAGGCATAGTTTGCATGAAAATGCCTGAAGGGAACTATTTTACTGACCAGAACAACTACATTGAGCTTTAGTTGTTCTGGTGACTATAGTGTCCCTTTAAGTATGTTTCGACAGAGAGCAAGTATTGTGTGGGAAAGTCACTGAAAAACAGCTGCAGTCATCTTATTCATCTGTTCACTATGAGTGGATGAATTGTGTTCAGTAACATACACAAAAGTGGACATCTTACTGTTTGAGAAGAAAGTAGTTCCCAGACAATATTCTTCCTCTAACAACTTCATTGAAGCCTTCCCGCCTAGTCGCTGCATACATAGCTTCTGTAGAGTCATCAACATCTGAACGATGCCCTTCCAAAAAAAAGATAAAAAAACAGAATGTGTGTTAGGGCCATAGAGAAAAGCAGACAATATATTTACCCTAAAAAATACTGTGCTCATGTAATAAACAGCAATAAGTTATAATAATAATAATAATAATTAAAAAGGTTGTTAAAGTAAACTAGATACAAGCCACTTCGTTAAAGGGGCACTTTAAGCACCATTGTTGAAATGCTTCTTCTTTGAAAAACAAACGTGAGTTACAACACATTAATTTAGTAATAATACTTACTATATACTTAAGGAATAATGTTATATATTACATGCAACAAATATTCAACAGTAAAGACTAGACTGCAAGCTAGGCTACCATAAAATCTTATAACTTAACAGATTTACACAGAAATCTAAAACTAGCCCTGATAGACTCCTTAAAAAAAAAAGTTTATAAGTACCGGTACATTGAATGGATATTAAAGGAACACTATAGAGTCAGAAACATAAACATGTATTCCTGACCCTATAGTGCTAAACCCCGCAAGAGTTAATAAAACTCACCTTATTTCAAGCACCGCGTGGGTCCACTGGCGCTGGCCCCGCCCCTGATCCGGCTCCTTGATGACATCATCAGAATTGCAGATTTTCAGCCAATCCAATGCTTTCCCTATGGGGAAAGCATTGGATTGGCTAAAATCGGCAAGGGCAAGGGCCAAACACTGCTTTGGCCAGTCAGCACTTCCTCATAGAGATGCACTGAATCAATGCATCTCTATGAGGAAAATTCAGTGTCTCCATGCAGAGCATGCAGACGCTGAATGGCACTGTTGGCTACTGTGCAGCACTGAGCCAGGAAGCACCTCCAGTGGCCATCTGAGTAGTGGCCACTTGAAGGTGTTCCTAGGGGGCAATGTAAACACTGCCTTTTCCCTGAAAAGGTAGGGTTTGCATGAAAATGCCTGCATATAATGATTATACTCACCAATATACTCACCATAAGCAGTAGTTGTTCTGGTGACTATAGTGTCCCTTTAAGTTTGCGAAATGTTACTTAAAAACACAATATTACTGTATTTTTCAGAGATGTAATCTTCAATATTTATTTTCCACCAGATTTAATAAATAAGCTATAATACAGGTCAACGGGAAGCCTCTGCTTGGCTGGTAGGAGTGCGATTTCATATACCTTATTATTTGGGAGTACATCTTATGAATTGTTAAATTTGTATTTTTTTTTTTTATTCTTTATTTTCCTACAAATAAGACATTTTTGTGTTGCAAACAGTCATTAAAAAAAATTACAGTAAATTTGCCATAGACAAAAAAAAAACAAAAGAAAGTAAAGGGCAAATAAGGATATAAATTAAACATCAAAATAAAAATAAAGCCTCCCCGGCTTCACCCATTCATCAGGGCCCACACTCTTCCATTCTCTAGTATTTCCATACCCAGCTTCCCTAGTGGAGGGGATAATATTCCGGGTCATAGATAGAGAGCAGGGTATGCATGATTGGAAGTTACTAAGCACTCATCCGGTCGGGTATTTGTATTTATTTTAATGGGGACTAGCATGTGTTTAGTATAATTTGCCCCGAATCATCATTATACTATTTCTGTAATGAAATTAATTTGTTCAATTGTAATGAAATATACAGCAACAGTATAAAAAACACATGTCAATAACTCCCACCATTCACTTATTGCATGACAAATGTTCACCGGCTGGTTCCCGTGCGGAATTCATGTAAACTAGTAAACACGTAACTCAGAATAAAAGAAAGTTTATGACTTGTGACATAGAATACAATAAAGAAAATACCAAGCCTCGTGTATTCCTCAAGCACATTCACAGACGATGCTTTGCCAAGTCTGTTATAAAGTATTTCCAGAGGGTTTTACGCAAATGTTATGACAGATACTGATGTATAGCTATACATTTCCTTTTTTCTAAACTTCCTCTTACCTCTCAACGATACAAAAAGAAATATAGTTGAAGAGGTATATAACCTTCGTCTATTCAATGTGACACTTCATTTCTCATTTTCTACGTTCAGCAATTGCTTAAATTGCAATTGTATTACAGCGTTTGTGGTATGACACATTGGAGGTGCAAGTATTCCCCTTATTTTAGGCAGAGTAATCCATGCTACCTTAGGTTGTTCCATTTGGCATCTTAAATGCATTACGAGGGACTTACATTAAAACAACAACTGCTTACCATATTCTAGGCCATCAAACCGAGCCATGTTTGATGCTACTTCAGATGTGCATAAAACATGGTAGCATACAATGGAGTAAGGTGTATGCGGCAGGGAAACCTCTACAACTTTAGCTCCCGCATTTTCAAACATGTCAGCAGCCTTCGACCAAAGTGTCACAATTTCTGTAGACAGTCCAGGTGCATGGTATTCCTTTAATGAAAAACGTAAATTAATGTTCAGTCTAAAGAAGTAAACTACACAAGGAAACCTGAGCACAGATTACAATCATGCTCCGATCATGCCCGTGCGGTCTCACTGCTCAATTCTCCAGCATTTAGGAGTTAAATCACTTTTGTTTCTGTTTATGCAGTCCTAGCCACACACACACCCAACATGAAAAAAAATGGTTTCATTTGCAAACCGATGCGACAGAAAAGTGTGTTTACGTTAGAAGTTTTTATCTTCTGCTCTGCTAATTGGACTTAAATCACAAACAGGAGATTAAAGCAGCACTATCAAACCATTAACAAAGCAGGAGTCAATATAGTCTATGCAATGAAGGAGGTTTAAACATTAGATCTCTCTTTACAGGAAATGTGTAGGAAGACTGTGTAGGTCACATGCAGGACAGGTGTGACTATGGCTACATAAACAAAGTGATCAAACTCCTAAGTGATAGAAAATTTAGCAGTGAGACTGCAGTGGCATTAACTATACACCAAAATGCTCAATAGAGCCAAGGTTGCTTTGGTGCTTATAGTGTCCCTTTACTATTTCCAATGACACTACTCCTATAATGCACATTTTGTTTTCTTCCTTAAAATCAGACAAAAATGCCACCTACTTTATTTACAGACATGTCTACATAAAAAAAAGAGAGTGTAGGTGAGATTCAATTGTGATGTCACACACTTGTGATTTACCTTTGGAATTCCTATGCAAAGTTTTTTCATACTGATTTTCTCAGGCAATTTGAAAGTCTCAAAAGGATCTTGGATGGTTGTGGAATCCTGTGGGTCATGCCCAGCAAGCACACCTGAAAATATGACATTAGTTCGGCCATGATAAATAAATGCCACATGCGTTTAATAATCATATATGGCAAACAACATACCAAGTACAGTTGCTGCATCATCCACACATCTGCTGAGAATCCCAGGTACATCCATAGAGTTTACCAACGGAATAAGACCATGGCGAGAAACGAGCCCGTATGTAGGTTTCAAGCCTACAACTCCGCAGTGACTAGCTGGGTTTCGGGTAGAACCACCAGTGTCTGATCCCAGAGCTCTAGGTGATACAATGTTAAAAAAAAAAAAGTTAGCCTTGTGCATATTTATTTTTATGAAGGCAAATCAACATGCAAAGGAGAAGGAGTGAATATTATAGCGGCACATTAATTCCTCATTGTTTTACAATCCCATATCAGTAAAAACGCTCTTTTAGAAACTTTTGAGTGGAATGTTTTTATTTCAGCCTAATTGCACAACTGACACCATATCTAACATTTTTGCCATTCAGATCTTTTACTAACATTTTTGCCATTCAGATCTTTTACATAATTGTATTATATTATTATATTATATTTTATATTTCTCTTCAATGCAAGACTTCTTGCTGCAGTAAGAAACAAAACCAGTAAAAAAACAAAAAACAAAAAAACACTGCACAGAAAGTAGGGAGAAAAAGCAAAAGAGGCAGGTCAATGGACCATGCACTTGGCAAAAGAGGCAGATCCATGGACAATACGAACAGAGTTTGAACAGATATGTTGTGCTATGCCATACTATCTTTCTGGCTAATAGAACAATTCCATGTTAAATGTTAGTGTTGGGTAGCTTAGACATAATTGACAGAGATCAAAATGACATTTTGATTTTTGAATCCACTAAAAATTTTGTTTTAACTTGTCTGCCCCTTGACAGCAAACAACATAACAATTGTGAATGCAGGGGGGCAGCAGTAATCTAGCAGTTCACAGTTAATGTACTGATAACGTACAAAACTCAGCTTCCCAGGTCTGTACTCTCAGTGTCTTAGGGCAACAGGATATAACATCATAATCCAGTGCCCATTAGTTACTCCAGACAAGAAGAATGAATATAAGAAACATGGAACATGTCCAGCACCTATTAATGTTTATGCAAATATGGCTGCAAGAATTTCAGCAGGCAACATTTTCCATATACCATCCACAGAACAGTTCTACCAATAGTTGACATACTTGCTCCTTTAACGACTTCATATAAACTTAAAGGAACACTAAAGTCACACAGAGCACTTCATCTTAATGACGTGGGCTGGGTGCAGTGTCCCTGTTCTTTTAACCATGCAATACAAAACATTTTAATACCATACCACTTCCTGAAGTCTCTCCCCTAACAGGCAATGACATCAGACCAGACAGCATGTTTGAACAGCTATGCATACAATCTAAAAGACCAACCAAAACTATGCTCAAGTGCTATAACTTGATCCAAACATAGAAACAATCCGAACTCCCACGTTACGCGATCCTATGGAACGCACGACTCCCAGAACCCATATTGGATCAATCCTGGAAAACGATATTCCAGAGAACATTCCACTCGAATATAAATGTTCAATTGCAAGAAGCTAATCTAAAACTACTCACCAGATTGTACGTTACCCCACAGGGCCTTCACAATGAATAGATCCCTATCGCGTCACTGCTGGAGATGCCATGGAGAATTAGACACACTCATACATCAGTGGTGGGAATGGAACACTGTACGAACATTTTGGTCAGAAGTAAGAGACACTATCAAAGAAGTCACAGGGATATCACTCTAAATAAATATTCCAACGAAGTTCCACTCACCTAATAACACCGCCACCACACAACTTCGCAAAAATAAAAACTCACTACAATACTTCTTACTCACGACCGCCAAGACAGAAGTAGCGGCCAATTGGAAGTTGGTTAAAAGCCCTTCTAGACAGGTGCTTAGAGTGGAAAAGGTGATGGTGATGGATGAGTTACTTTGGGCATCATAAAATAACACACATAAATACAAAACAATATGGGGGCCATGGAAGTCATTTCGACATACGCCACATCCTATGGGGATTAGCCAAGGAGAATGAAGGATCCTCTAACCCACAATCACGACTCATGTAAAACCAAATAAAAATTATAATAAAAAAAATAAAAATAATTTTAAACAGAGAAAATGCAATGTTTACAGTATGTACCACTGAATAATAAACATGAAAGAAACAAATTGAAGCCAATGTGGCTTAGTAGAGAAGTAAAACAAGAGATTAAAAATAAGAAAAGGGCATTTAACCCCTTCAGGACCGTACTGTTTTGGCCATGTTGTACGTTAAGGACCAAAGCTGTTTTAACACTTTTGTGGTGTTTGTGTTTAGCTGTAATTTTCATCTCTCTCATTTACTGTTCCCATACAAATTATATATTGTTTTTTCAGGACAAGAAGGGCTTTCTTTACATACCATTATTTGCATCATATATGGTGAAAAAAACATGACTTTTGACTTTTACTTGAAAAATCTTTTACTTACCTACGAAAGCTAATGAAAAGAACTGCTAAACAGATTATAAATTTTGTCCTGAGTTTAAAAACACTCAGTATTTACATGCCTTTTATTTTGCAAGTTATAGGGCTATAAATACAAGTAGGATATTGCAGTTTCAAAATATATATTTTGTAAATTGATCAACAGTGACATTGTAACACTTTTATCTGTTATAAACCTCTGAATCACACCTCACATATATATATATTTTTTTAAAATAGGCAACCCGGGGTATTCACTATGGGGTATGTCCAGTCTTTGTTAGTAGCCACTTAGTCACACACACTGGCCAAAGTTAGCATTTATATTTATTTGTTTGTGTGTTAAAAATGCAAAAAAACAAGTGGCTACTAAAAAAAAGGCTGAACATACCCCATTTGCAATACATTGGGTTGTCTTCTTTTGTCAAATGGTATGCCATCATGGGGGTAATTCTTATTCCTGTGCTACCATACGCTTTCAAAGGCAACATAACTAACCTGGCAATTTTCAATGTGAAAAAATGTGACCCTTATATTTGACCCTTTAACTTTCAAAAACACTATAAAACCTGTACATCGGGGTACTGTTATACTCTGGAGACTTCGCTGAACACAAATATTACTGTTTCAAAACAGGAAAACGTATCACAACAATTAGATCACCAGTGAAAGTGCTGTTTGTGAAAAATGCTAAATAAGTCACTTTCTCTGACAATATAATCACTGTGATATGTTTTACTGTTTTTAAACACTAATATTTGTGTTCAGCAAAGTCTTACGAGTAAAACAGTACCGCCAATGTATAGGTTTAAGGGTGTCATAGAAAGTTACAGGTTAAATAAAGTGCTGGGTTGTCAGGCAGTTCCCTCAAATTGCAATCAATAAAATTACTTAATTATGTAAAAATATTACATAAACATGAACGAAGAATTTAAATATATATACATATTTATATATTTGAAGTCTACATGTATATTTATGAAATTAGTTATGTAATTTTGTATTATTTTTATTTATCTATATATACATAGATATATATATATAATTTCATTCTAAGTGTATTTTGATATAAATATATTAATGTTATTTTTCTAAAATAATTTTTAAATTTATTTTTACTTATTATTTGTATTTTATAATAATATATATATATATATATATATATATATATATATACATACATATACACACACATACACACACACACACACACATACATACACACACACACAATTATTATTGCAGGCAGATACACAGGCACCTATTGCGGCCATGTGACCGCTCTGTTAGAGCGATCACATAGCCGTGGGGTCCTAATTCACAGAGGGGGACTGCCTGGGCTGTCAGGCCTCCCCCCAGACCAGGAGTGATGCCGATCACCAGGCGGGGAACAGCGGCGATCGGGTAAGTAAATATTACTGTTACGACAGTTCAGGACCGTCATCGATCTTTAAAGGTATTTTTCCGGTTGTTAAGGGGTTAAAGCATTTAAAAATCAGACAAATCAAAGGCATCCTATATAAGATATAAGGAAATCCAATAATGCTTGCAAAAAGGTAATTAAAGCGGCTAAACTAGAAAATGAGAAATTGATGGCCAAAGAATCCAAAACTAACCCAAAAAATGAAAGTGAAGGTACACTGGAAACATAGATGGGTCTGTTAGTTAATGAAAACCAGGAAAAGGCAGACATTTTAAATAACTATTTTTCTTTAGTATATTTTAATGAGGATCCTATGGCAAGAGATATGCAAAGGATTGCTGCAAAAAACTTGCAGATAACTTGTGGTTGGATGACTTGAGACAAGGTGCTACAGCAGTTAAAGAAAATTAATGTAAATAAAGCTCTGGGGCCTGACGGTATTCACCCACGAGTACTTGAGGAGCTAGGTGGGGAAATAAGTGAAGCTCTGTATTTAATATATCAAGATTCTTTTGTTTCAGGTATTGTACCGCAGGATTGGAGGAAGGCAGATGTCGTTCCTATATTTAAAAAGGGTTCAAAATCCTTGCCTGGAAATTATAGACCTGTGAGCTTAATTTATTATAAATAATAAGTTAAATAAGGGCTATTAAGGGATAATATTCAGGAATTCATTGGGAAGAACTTTGTTATTAGCAATAATCAGAATGGTTTTATGAAACATAGGTCATGCCAAACTAACATAATTGCATTCTACAAAGAAGTAAGTAAAAGTATAGATCATAAAAGTACAAAGTATAAATAGGGGCATAAATTCTTGGGATGAAAATATAATTTTGCCTCTTTCTAAATCGCTGGTAAGACCACACCTTGAATACGCTGTGCAATTTTGGGCACCAGTCCTAGAGAAGGATATCACAGCACTAGAATAAGTGCCAAGACGAGCTACAAAACAGATAAAAGGAATGGAGCATTTTAGTTATGAAGAAAGGTTAAACAATTTAAATCTCTTTAGTTTGGAAAAACTGCGCCTCAGAAGGGATATGATAACAAATATACAAATATATTCAGGGCCAGTATAAACCATTATCTGGAAATCTATTCATAAACAGGGCTTTACATAGGACACAAGGTCACGCATTAAGGCTGGAAGAAAGGAGATTTAATCTAAGGCAAAGAAAATGGTTGGTTTTTTTTACAGTAAGAGCAATAAGGATATGGAATTCTCTGCCCGAAGAGGTGGTTTTAGCAGAGTCCATACATATGTTTAAACAGCAATTGGATAAATACTTCCAAAAATATTACATACAGGGATAAAATTTCAATTAGTGGGGTAATAGCTACTTGATCCATGGAGATATCTGACTGCTATTTTGGGGTCAAGAAGGAATTTTTCCTAGTTTGTTGCAAAATTGGAAGCACTTCAGACTAGGTTTTTTGCCTTCTTTTGGATCAACAGCAAAAATATATGGGAGGAAGGCTGAACTTGATGGACACAAGTCTCTTTTCAGCTATGTAAGACACCTCTTTCTGACAGTCAGTAGAGGTGATTCCGCTGTACTGACAGAGTAAAACTTGGTCATATGATGCAACAGCTCATGGGAAAGGAATGGATCAATACTTTTCTTATGAGAAGCATTGGATGCGCACACATGATTCGCCACCCATACACATCAGGTCCCCAATGCTCCTCTATGACTGCGCCATCACTGGAGAGGAGGCTTTGCTTCCTCGATGACATTGTGAGGCAGAGAGGTGAGCAGTACCAATGTAGTACTACCGCTGGAAAAATGTATAGCCTTAATTTTATTAATTTTTATGGAAAAAGGAGGGGAACCTGTATATGACTAGGGAGAGGGACACTGTAGCATTAGGAATGCAATGATTGTGTTCCTTTTATATAAATTAATTATATTACAAATGACTAGAATATAAATATTACAAACAACAGTCCTCATCGGATTCTATTTACCTCAATAATTAAGGCGTAAAACAAAACATATTTAGACATCTCTTAGGATACACAGAATTATGTAAACATACGCAAACAATCTTTCCAGTAGCATGTCTGAAATCTCATCGTGAATGTTCTGCTTGACACATGAATTTTCCTATATTTCCATAAACAGACCTTAATGCAAAAATGTGAGTTATTTAAAGAAAAGCATCTCTTGTGTACAAGCATTTGAAATCCACTAAATGATTTCATGCAAACATACTGTGCATTTACAGGCTTAGATATTCCTAACCTAGAGACAAATGTTTTGAGTGCAAGTGCCGCACATGCATTAGCCCTGCCCCATAGAAAAGCATAAAATACATGGGGATTTAGAAGACGTTGGACGTCCTCAAGCTGAGCGTGAGGACGTCCAGTGTTCTTTCACAGAGGCAGGCTTAATCCTACAATGTAAACATTGAAGTTTTAGCTGCAGGTATAAAATGACTGGGTCATTGCATTCAGACCTCATCAATAAGATTAAGTGGTCTGGGTGCCTATAGTGTCCCTTGAAATCTCCCCCACCCCCTTTATTTAATTTTAAGCATAATTGGAGGAACTGAATTTAAACAATAAGGATACTTCATACTAAGCATGTCCAACTCAAAGGCTAACACCTGCCAAATAAACAAGGTTTAGATTTATGTGGGCTTCAAAAAAAACCTAAAACTTCAATTTTCATAGAAATGTAGGTTTATTTTGAAAAGTACAGTATAAAAAAGTTGCCTAACTGACACAGTACGTCCTCACGTTGATATGGCTTCAAAGTAAACAAAAGAGCAAATTTATTTTAAGGAGATATGTATTTGAATATAACCAACATTTCAGTCCAACTACCTTGACATATTAAGAAAAGTTTGGTAATGGGACTGAAATTCTGAATGTATGCTGTTGCACAGCTGTAAAAAAAAAAGAAAAAAAAATTAATAAATGCACATTATGCTTTCACAATTCACACCGCCCCCATGCCGATTTTAGCCAATCGGATTGGCTAAAAAGCGGCCATTTTGATGATGTCACAAAGGGGACGGAGGTAGTGCCAGCAGGCCCGTGCGGCACTGAAAATAAGGTGAGTTCTAAACTTTTATAGGGGGACTAAGGTGAGGGGGGGATTGAGGGGGCAAGCCACCTAAATGGTGGTTTTAACACTAAAGGATCAGGAATACATGTTTGTGTTCCTGATCCTACAGTGATCCTTTAAGTTAAATAGAGGTGGAGATAAGGGGTATGTTCACCCTTCCTATAGGGAAACAATATATTTTTTAGTTGTTGCAATTAATTGTTGTTGCAGTGATTGCCAATTTTGTAATTTGTCACTTGCAAGTTAATAGGACAAGAGAATCTTTTGAAGAATCTGAGGCAGAATCTAGGCTTCGGTCTCCCTAGGAGGCAGGAAACCACGTTGACAATTGGTGATCAACTGTCTCACTGGCCTGATGTTCTAGTGGTGGGGATATTGGCAGTATAAGAGTCCCTTTCACATACATCCCCAAAATGAGGAAATGTCAGAGAACTGCAAAGCGAGATCACATGGTGGGTTGCATCTTAATTAGTATAATGAGGTGGAATCAAAAATCCAAGTTGATCCCACCCCATTATACCATAGGGTCAAAGAAAATACAGAGTCCCTTTAACAAATAACTTAATTGCTGCCTCATAGTGTTTTATTATAATTATTAAGTATTCATACAGCACCCCAAAAAAATTTGCAGTACCATAAAAGAGGAAATACAGATGACAAATAAACACATACTGATAAAAAAAAAAAGAAAAGAAACAGAGGACCCCGCCCATGAGCTTACGATCTATCAAATACAGTACTTTTATAAAAGTGCTTAGCAAGATAACTTGTGATTTTACCATCTAAAGGTAACGATCGGGAGTTGACACAAAGGTAATGCAAGGGATGTTTGTAGTAATAGCCAGACACCAGGGGATATATTAAAACACAGTGCATTTTGGAAGGAATTAAATAATTAACAGACACAGCTGATGGATGATGTAGTAAAAAAATTTTGGACAAGGGTGTGTAGTTATAATAAAACAATATATCTAGGTTCAGAAAAAAGTCAGTGTGCTGGGCCGATCTGTAGATGGAAGAAAATGAAAGAAGTGACTGGAATCAAGCCACAGGCTTTGTTGTAAGGAGGTAGCCTAGCGGTGGGTAGAGGAGGAGCGGGACTAAGTGATTGTGAAGAATTTGCTGGTAGAGTGAAAACATTTTGGCAAACAAACGATCTCACACAAAATGAATAAATACATATACAAATGCATGACATAGGCACAAGAGATATACTAAGAGTTGTAGGATAATTAGTGTAAAAATGCACCAAACACCACAGATTTTCAGTCTTGATTGAAGGGTACCTTAATTGCGTATAGAATCTATTGAAGATATTTTGGAATTGATGCAGATAGAAGTCAGGGTGCTGGGGTGATCTTAATTGCCTGCAAAATCTTTATTTAGCTAGATATCTAATATAATTAGATGGAATCTAAAATGGAGTTTTAAACTTAATACTTACACATAACAGGTTCCCGCAGACACAGCAGCAGCACTTCCTCCAGAACTGCCACCTGTGATCAGCCAATCAGACTCCTTTTTGGCATCATGGTGATTTACTGCTCGTTTTTCTCTGTATGCCTTAGAATAACTCCATGGATTTTTCACCGGACCAAATATACTATCGGTACTACCAGATCTAATGAATATTAAAAAGTGAAATTATAAATAAAGCCAAACATATTGATAAATTAATATTATATTTACAATTGACGTTGCCTATTGTTCCTTGTTCAAGGTACACTGGCAAAAAAAATAAAACAGAAAAACAAACATCGGTTCTGGCCAGTGTTACACATGCATGCGTTATCCAAGTACACATCGTTCTTCCTTCGGCACTGCAAGCTCACAAAATGGACGAGAAGCCATAGTAAAGTCTAAGGCCTAGTTCTAATACTGTCAGTTAAGCGTTTCAATATTTTTTTTCAAAATAATAAAATATAAAAAAAAAAATATATAAATATATGGAAAAAAAATACAAACATAATATTAAATAATTTGAAATGCTTATCCGGCAATATTAAATCAAAGCCTAATCAATCTCTGTGGAGGCTAGATTTAGTTTATAACACATGTGGGTAGCTTTATTTTTAAAAGAAATGGAGATCGTATATGGCATTTTCTGGTTTCGGAAAGCAACACTATAGCACCCAGAAAAAATGGCCATCAAAGCAAGCTTATGTGAATATGGTGAAAATTACATCTGACTGTCCGTTTGACTCTTAATGTTCGTGAAAGAACACACAGTATTTCAATTAGAAATGATAATGATAATGTTTATTTTTAAAACACCAATATGTTCCACTGACGTACAAGTGTTACAAGTCAGTTCAGTACGATAACGTTACTGTTACACAAAGCCTGGGAAAAGAGATTTCTTAAAAAGCTGAATATTAAGGGAAACTTTGACTTATTGAAAATGTTTACCTTTGGGGACATCACATACAGTTTGATGCCGCCAAGCACTGGGTATGCTTCTCATAGAAAAGCAATAGATTCTCTATGCGATGCCTCTAATTGGCAGAGCATGGCGATTACCACACATGCCCAGTATGTCCCCAATGCTTCTCTAAGATGATCTCAGAAGAGGAATGTCTGCCCGATGCTGGATTAAAACGTTAGTAGAACAGACTATTTTATTTTAAAAGAATATTCTACACCTACTAAAGAACATTCCAATTTTAAAAACAAATTGTTTGTACATTTAGACGTGGATTTAAAAAAAGCAAATGACTGTGCCAATCTTTGAGCACTAAATTATTATCGGGATGTTGTGAGGGTCCTGCTTAAACAAGCTCAGACGTGGTTCCATTCGACAAAACAACTGCAGTATCGAACCATAATCATTATGAAATGGTGACATATTCTAATAGCTATACATAAGTAAAGTGCAACATCATTGAAGTCAGAAAAAAAACAGGAAATAATTGCCTGTTTAGCTGTTGTATGTATTTGGATTAATCAGAACCAATCCAGGTGGATCAGGTATCCACTGGTGATATTCTAGAGAAAATGAATAATGGAATTATCACTAATCTAAAAACTGACCTATAATTATGTTTGTCCATAAACAACCTAGTGAAATATTTTGGCTTTTTTTCTGACAAAAGGCCATTGAGTTGTATTCATTCATGAGAGTGTACCAAGTAAATTAACATAGCTTTATATATACAGTCTTATTGGTTTTTGCAGACATGAGACAGAGATAGAAATAAAGGAAATGTTTCATTCCGAAAAAGATAAGATCTATTTTTTAATTAACTAGGAAGATGAGAGTTGTAGTGCATTGTGATGCTTTAGTGCAGTGTTCCTAATATCCCATAACCGGGCTACTTTCAATAAGATAAGGGCAGCTTTACAATACATTGACTGGAGTAAACGTTTTAGTGAAAAGAAACACTGAGGATACATGAAATAACGACAAACAAATAGTAGAAAGGTACCATTTCACAGTATGTACCATTGGGTAATAAATATAAAAGAAACACATTTTAACCAATATGACTTAGTTGGAAAGTGAATAAGGCAATTAAAAATAAGAGGGCATTTAAATCAGACAAATGAGAAGCATCCTATAAAAGTTAAGGAACCCAATAATGAGTGCAAAAAAGAGATTAGAATAAACAACAGAATGAGGAAGTGATAACCAAAGAGAGCTAAAACAACCCCAGAGCATTTTTAAGTACATACATTCTAAAAAAAAAATTAAAAAATGAAAGTGTAGGTACACTGAAAACCAAGATGAGGGTGTTCATTAATGAAGACCAGGAAAAGGCAGAAATTTTAAATAACTATTTCTCATAAGCATATATTAAGAAAGATATGCAAATGATTGCTGCAAAAAAAAAACTTGCAGAAAAATTGTGACTGAATGTCTCAAGACAAGCTGCTGCAGCAACTAAAGAAAGTTAATATAAACAAAGCTCCAGGGCCTGATGATATTCACCCATGAGTACTTAAGGAACTAAGTGTGAAAATAAGTGAACCTCTTTTTAATCTTTCAAGATTCTTTTCTTTCAGGAATTGTACCGGAGGATTGGAGGAAGGCAGATGTGGTTCCTATATTCAAAATCCTTGCCTGGAAATGATAGACCTGTGAGCTTAATTTCTGTGACTGGGATAGTATTTGAATGGTTACGAAGGGATAATATTATTTAGGAATTAATTGAGAAGAACGTGGTTATCAGCAAAAATCTGCACGGTTTTATAAAACATAGGTCATGTCAAACTAACTTAATTACATTCTACGAAGAAGTAAGTAGAAGTAAAGATCAGGATGCTGCAGTGGATGTGATCTACTTGGATTTTGCCAACGTGTTTGATACGGTTCCACACAATAGATTAGTGTTCAAACTCAAAGAAATTGGTCTAGATGGAAATTCTTGCTCCTGGGTCAAACGTTTGCTTAAAAAATAGAGTATAGAGAGTTGTCATTAATGTTAAACTTGCAAGCTGGACAAAATTTAACATATTTATAAATGATCTTGAAATAAGCATTGAAAGTCATATTTCAGTGTTTGCAGATGACACAAAACTCTGTAAAGTAATACAATGTGAGCATGATATTACTTTACTGCAGAGGGTTTTAAATGGACTGGGGTACTGGGCAATTAAATGGCAAATTGAATTTAATGAATAAAAATGCATAAGTTGCACAAAATGGTAGTGAATTGGGGATAACAGCACACAAGAAGGATTTGGGAATTGTTATAGACAACAAACTATGCAACAATGTGCAATGTCAATCAGCAGTGGCAAATGCCAGTAAGGTATTGGCATGTATAAAAAGGGGCATTCATTCTCAGGTGCAATTTTGGGCACCTGTTCTAAAAAAGGATATTATGGTACTAGAAAAAGTGCAGAGACAGACGACAAAATGAATAAAAGGAATGGAACATTTTAGCCATAAAGAAAGGCGAACAGATCTAAACCTTTTTAGTTTAGAAAAACGTCGCCTAAGATGGGATATGATAACATTACACAAATGTATCTGAGTCAATACAAACCATTGTCTAGAAATCTATTTACAAACAAGACTATACATAGGACCAGGCCCGGTTTGGCCATCGGGCACACCGGGCAAATGCCCGGTGGTCCGCGGTGGCCATGGGCTGAGGCCGGCAGGGGAGGTCCCAGGATCTCCCCTGCCAGTCTATGCAGGGCCGGCGCTATCCGAGCGCCGGCCCCGCTGTTTGCCATGACGGGCCGGTGGGGAGATCAAAGATCTCCCTCACCGGCCCAAATGCAGCTGCCAGCGGGGAGAGAGGGAGGGAGACAGCCAGGAGAGGAGGACCCGGCGGAGCTCTAACTTGCAGCTCCGCCGGGTTCCTCTCGCGAGATCTGGTGCGTTGCCATGGCAACGACCGGATCTCGCGAGAGTGAACTCTAGCCCCACAGGCTAGAGTTCACTCACCCATAAGGACCACCAGGGAACACCGCCACCCCGCCTCCCAGTCACCAGTGTGCCGGCCCCCCCCTCCCAGGCTAAAGGTAAGAAGGAAGGGGGGGGATTTAATGCCTGGTTTTTGTTTTTGTTTATTTACCCCCCCAACACACACACAATCCATTCTAACATTTATACGGCACTCTCACATCCATCACACACAGCACTCTCACACCCATCACACACAGCACTCTCACACACACAGCACTCTCTCACCCATCACACACAGCACTCTCTCACACCCATCACACACAGCACTCTCTCACACCCATCACACACAGCACTCCCCCCCCAAAAAATAATATATATATATATATATATATATATATATATATATATATATATATATATATATATACATATATATATATACACACACACACACACACACACACACACACACTCTGGATCCCCTATACACACACTAGATTCCTTGTAAGCAAACACACCCCTAAACACACACTACATCACCTATATATACACACACTATAGCCTCTATGCACACACTTGCTATATCCCCAATACACACATTCTCTACAGCCCATAGCCACATATGCATCACATTACACCACTTTACACCACAAACACAACATGACTAAAACCAACCTTATTACACAATACCACACCACAATCAGCTCACTCTACACACACGCAATACCACAAGCAGGCTCCAAACACATGCACAATACTCTTTCCTGGACCTTTTGTCTCCTGGTATCCATTTATAGAGACACCATAGACAAGTTGCAAGGAAACACAGTGCAAGCATGTTATTAAATTTGCTTGCACTGTGCAGAACAAAAACAGAGCTTTTTTCTCATGCTAGAGCTCTTCAGCGGAGCTCTGCACATGGTCTGCCCTGGAAGAGCATTGAACCAACATGCTCACTTTGAGAGGAGGCGTGTTTGTCATTGGTGATGACAAAACACACCTCCTCTGCCCCGCCCCCTTCTTAGTGGGCCGCTGTGTTAAAAAAATGCCCGGGACGAATTTTTCTCCCAGTCCGGCCCTGCATAGGACACAAAGTCATGCGTTTAGACTGGAAGATAGGAGACTTAGTCTAAGGCATGGATCCTCAAACTCTGGCCCCCCAGATGTTGCTGAACTACAACTCCCATGATTCTTTGAATTACATAGATAGCCAAAGAATCATGGGAGTTGTAGTTCAGGCACATCTGGGGGGGGGGCGGAGTTTGAGGACCCATGGTCTAAGGCAAAGAAAAGTTTTTTTTTTACTATAAGAAAAATAAGGATATGGATTTCTCTGCCTGAAGAAGTGGTTTTATCAGAGACTGGACAGATGTTTAAACAGCACCTGGATGCATACTTGCAAAAACATAATATTCATAATTTTTCAGTTGTAGGGTAATAGTGTCTTAAACCAATGATATATCTGACTGCCATTCTGGAGTCGAGAAGGATTTTTTTCCTAGTTTATTGCAAATTTGTCAGTGCTTCAAGCTGGGCTTTTGGCCTTCTTTTGCAAAACAGCAAAAACAGATGTGAGGAAGGTAGAACTTGATGGACACATGTCTCTGTTCAGCCTACTTAACTATGTAAATATCTATATGGGCAATAAAATAACATATTATTGATCATTATGCTCAATGATATACGCTTTGACTAATGATTACAAGGACTTAAGTGAACCTGTCATGAAAGGTTTGCTTTAAATGTTGGCATAGGATAATTTAGCAATAAACATATTTAGAAAAACAGCTTCATACCAATTTGACAAAGCCGGTAACAAGCTTTACCATGATTTGCCACCTCTTTGTAAGCTTTCTTTGTATAAAAACAGAAATCTTTCAGCAAAATCTGAGGCTCCTATGATTTTTCATGAAAGTGCCAAACATATCCCAAACACCCTATTAGCAGGGATATAAAGGCATAGGTGAAACTGCTGTACAAAGTAATGGAAGCCTGTGGAAGAGATGGTGGGCACTTTTTTGGCCAGATACCATGACCTTGGTGAAGCACATCTACCCCATGACATTTGTTGATCTAAATCTCATTTTGTCCCCTTAACGCCAGCAAGGTATGAAAATGCCAGCTTTTGCAAACCGATTTAAACTACTGCTGTGTACGATCGTAAAGCTCAGCTGGATTTGTCCAGGATGTACTCCTGCATACTAAGTATTTTTCTTATAAAATATTGACATGTCTCCTCTTGCTGTGTTATTTCACATGGAACAAGATAAGCTTGGTTAAGTTCTCTGGTCTAAGGTTCCAAGAAGCTATGAGACCTGATATGAGCAAAGCCTCATTAAAATTCCCACAAAAGAACGCTGAGCAGTGATCAACTGTGGTCACTGCACTACGGGCCAAGGTATTACTTATTCATAGATTAACACATCAATTGCTTGTTCTTCCATCCAGACACAATAAATAAGACAATACTACTTAATGAAGAACTAAATAGAATGCTATGTTACGATGTATAAACTATAAATTATTACCATACAGAAATTTGAGTCAGAATGAATAATATTACTCAAGTGGGATCTGCTTTTAAATGGGTAACATCTCTGAAAAAGCATCTAAAATGAACAATACAAAAAAAACAAAATAAAACATAAAATGGAATAAAAATATTAAATCTATTAATGACACAGCTGGTGTATTGGCCTTTTATGTATATGTACATTTGTCTATAAACAATTAACAACTATAATAGTTATCATTGGACATTCTTCTCTAATGAGAATCAAGCTGATAACATAGTGAGATTTTAGGGAGCATGGTATTGCTCACATACATGTGAGTGCCCTTCCTCACCTGTACAGATGCTTAAAAAATATATCTGAATAGAGCGTAGTCTGGCTTCAGAGCAGTGCAGACGTATGTTGCCTGAGCTCCTACGTATGGCACCCTAAATCTAACATTATTTTCGAGCAAACAACTTACCTGGACGCAAAGCATGACTACGATTGTGACTGTAATGCCGGTGGTGCTGGGGATCCCTTTCGTGGGACCCTCTGCCACTGGAAACCCCTACACGAGGCTTTGTGCCCTACCTGTGACCGTGCAGAGGAGAGGCAGCTGCTCTCCTACTGCTTTGACTGGTGGTGAGATACTCGATTTGTGCTATTCCCCCCATGAATTGGTGGGGGTTATCCCGGTCCCCCCTGGCTAGCTCCATATCTACACACTGCACCCAGTTGCTTGACAAATACCACGTGGCGAACCCGGCCGACTCACTTAAGATAGCAGACGAGCTCCCTGAACAGGGGCGCGAACTGCACAGACCAGTGACTAACATATCAGGCTTTGTAGGAGGCATGCTGCAACGCCTTGACAAAGTGTTTGAGCGATTTTGGCGCAAGATGGAAGCACGAAAGCAGACCTCACAGCCCACGACAGCAAAGCCACGGCACCCGCGCCACGAGGCGGACCACCCCAGGCTCCACACAGTCTCCCGGCAGGGAGGGACTTGATGTATCATATAGCCCGATTCTATGGATCCCAGACGCAGGCCCCCCTCTATGTATATACACACCATGCTAAAACTCCAACAGACATTATACTGTGTTGTACTCTTGCCTATACTAAAGGGCAGCCAAGCAAGTTACAATCAAATATCTTGTACCCAGCCTGTTTAACACATGCTACTCCTTTGTAACACACTCTTGCTCCATACCCAGACTAAATTACACAGCAGAGTCTCATCAGATACATTAAGCTTGTTTATAAATGAAAAATGTGCAATTACTCATGCCACTGTCTAGCCTGTCTATATCTATGTACGCTGTTGTGGTTGACGTTGATATGTACCTACCTGCACAACATTTTTTTGAAAAAAAATTTATAAATAAAAAAATATATATATCTGAATAGTCAATTTGCTACTGACATTTATATCTATAGCACAAAATGTAATTTTTACCATGTCTTGCTTATAAAATAAAATGTTCTCTCTAACCAACTCTATGGTAGAACACAGGATGTATATCACAGTTTGCTATTCATTTATCTGCTAACCATAGTAAATCCATAGCATATTGATTGGAATTATGGATGCTACCAAAAAGTATATTTAACCCCTTAAGGACCAAACTTCTGGAATAAAAGGGAATCATGACATGTCACACATGTCATGTGTCCTTAAGGGGTTAAAGTGTTTCTGTCAGTCAATCTTGGAACTCAGTTAACACAGATGTCCTGCAGGCAGTTGTTTTAGCTGTCACAGCAAATACACGGCATTGCTCTAGTTGCTGTGATATTCTTTTAGCAGGTTCGTCACTGTTTGCCCTTGCTAGGGGAGTACAGGAACTGAGTGAAAGATATTCTGTTCTGAAACCAATACACAGGCAATGAAGCCACTGTATCAGCATTATGGGGGAGGACAGCCCTGATTGGAGATGTGCTCCCAAAAAGGGACAATCTTAGAGTGTGTAAGATAGGACAAATTAATGGTGGGTGTTACATTGACAAATTTTCTTTCAAATGCATTATTCGTATCACAATTACTAATAACATACTTGAGAGACGTATGTTATCACATTATGGTGGTATCTCCACATAAGAACATCTAAAAGTTGTTAACATTAGGGGGCTGGTTGCATACTGAAAAATGTTTTGCACTATTCAGTGTGAAGGAAATAATTCTCCCTCAATCTTAGACCCATTTTATGCTGTAGGTCATTGAAATGCAGGCTACCTTTTTGTTCTGGGTATACACCGTCAAATTTGTTCTGCTCTCACAATAGTCAGTTTCTTTATGGTTCCATCCAACATAATGTATCTAAAATATGTATACATATCATCACACATTCCACCATTTTAAATTGCTAAGAAGGGACACCTTTGTTATAAGGTTTGTGAATGGTGTAAAAATGGAAAGGATTATCACAGAGCATTTTTGATGACTTCACACCTTATTGACAACAAATTAAGTGAGAATGTACCTTATAGCAAGAATTAAGTATCTAAATACAGGAAAACATTTTTTTTTTTTTTAATTCTTTATTTTTATTGTGCAAGTGTTAACAAACAAGCTTGATATGCCACGACAGCTATAACAAGCATTGTATAAACAGTCAAAAGATATTATTAGTATTACATCAAGTAAGTAGGTATGGCAAGATAGCATTTAAATCAGGTTATATGGACTGACGACATCTCATTTTGGAGTAATAAGAAAGAACAATAGCTATACAAGTACTAATTAAACAACAAGTATATGCATTGACTGTATTTCAATTGCTAAAATCAATGTATGTACTGCCATATTTGGAAAAACATGCTATGAGGAGGAAGATAAAAGGAAAATTAAGAAAAGCAAACAAAACCAAACACATGAATATAGATGAACATTGAAACTTGTGTTGCGTTTTAGCCACTTGATCTGGAGCCTACAGCAGCTCAGTTAGATATAGGAAGCCCATTCACCCCAGGAAGGATGGAGGTTTTTTAATGCTGAGCAGGCCCATAGAGCAGCCAGTAAACCAATACCCCCACAGAGATTGTGTCTCCTGTAGAAGCATAGTCCACTAAGGGAGGAATCACGGTAATACCTAAGCGGGAAGTCCCTCCAGCCCCAGGTCTGTGGAAGAGCCAGTACCTTCCAGCCACGAACCTGGTTACTTGCAAAGTCCAGGTTCCTGCCGTCCGGGTTAATGCGGTGAGCTGTGCGAGTGGTTTGTTCGGTTGCTTGTGTTGTATAGCTTTCAGCCTGCGTGGCTGGTATGTTGGGGTCAGGACTCCTTTAGCTCTGAGCCCGGGAAGGTAAAAGGACTTGAGGGACAGAGACTTTAAACTTTGATGTGCCCTTGAGAGACTTCCAAATTCTCTCCCTGCCGTGCCTCAACTCACCTCCAGGTGAGGAGTTGTCCTCAGGTTTTAGCTGCATATGTTCCGCCAGAGTAGCCCAGAAGTTAGTGAATGCAGCCTCGATTTTGTCCATAATTCGATCGTGTAGGTCGGAGAAGTCAGCTTGGTGTTGCTGTAAGCCCTGGGTAACAGGTTCTGGTGTGTCCGCCATTCCTCAACAGCCAGAGTGTGCTGAGCGATCCACCACACGACCGGCTCTGAGACCAGCGGAGACCGATTTGACCCCCACCGATCCAAAGTGAGGAGAAAATCGGGACCCGTACCACCGAGGGATAACAGTTACGGCAGGAAATCGGCCGCGTCTCCCACTCCAGATTGAGCTATAGGCCGCAAACGCCAGGACCATCACTACATAGCTTCTTCTGAGAAAACAGTCCGGTCCAGAGTTAGCCCAGATACGGTCTGCAAAATAGGAGCCTGGAAGTATTGCTCACGTTTTTTTAGCTTTAACCCCTTAAGGACACATGACATGTGTGACATGTCATGATTCCCTTTTATTCCAGAAGTTAAACGTGAGGAAACTAAAGAGCTCCTTCAGTCTGCGTCTTGCTTGCTTGGTGGCTAGGTCCCACCCCCCAGTAAAACATTTTTAATCACATTTGCTAAATTTGAAAAGCATCTTACTGTAACGATTTCGGTCATGCATCTCTATTACACACTCACACTAAAAATTCTAAGCTTATACACAACAGGGACACAAGAATAAGGAAAAAAAATAGAGAAAAGGACTCAAAATTGATTCTCAGAGAGGGACAATCCTTCATAACTAAAGACAATGAAGATGTACTGATTACTTACCCCATAGCAAACTCGTCAAGATTTGTTTTTCCCATGAGCACAGCTCCTTGATCAAAAAGTTTCTGAACCACTGTAGCATTGTAAGGAGGAATATAGCCTTGAAGAAAAAAATAAAAATAAGAGAGGTCATTAAAATGTTCTTTGCTAAATTTATAAATGTATTTTATATATTAGTATGTATGAAATAATGTTGGCTTCCAAACTGTAGCAATAACTACTATATATAACAGGAAAAGGAACATTTTGTTTAACCCCTTAATGACCAAACTTCTGGAATAAAAGGAAATCATGACATGTCACACATGTCATGTGTCCTTAAGGGGTTAAATGCTTTCTTGCCATCAATGTCAACTTCTGCCTACCACTCTAAAATAAAAATGTCATAATTTTGTATTATTATATAAAATAAACTATAGCTTCTGCGTGTATATTTTGTAATGAATACTTGTAAGTAAATATCTCTTTTCATTGCAGCTCCTAGTTTGCTCTTGCTCTGGAGTACTGTTCTCTTTGGTCAGGAGAATGGTCTATCTGACCAAAACCATGCATGGAATCAGGGGCGTATTAGCCGCAAGGCAAACAAGGCATTTGCCTTGGGCGGCATTTTTCAGGGGGTGGCAAAAAAAGCCGCCCCCCAAATGCCCAGGGCAAATGCCTAGTTAGCCTCGCGGCTAACTGACATCCCGAGCGGGCGGGCGGCGCTGGCAGGCAGGCGGCCGGCGAGGGAGCACTTCCCATGAGCTGACTGTTCAGCTCCCTCGCGCACCGCAAAGTGAGGCTGGGAGCCGGAAGATGGCGTCATATTCCGGCTCCCAGCGTCACTCTGCAGCCGGCGCGCGAGGGAGCTGAGCAGTCAGCTCAGGGGAAGTGCTCCCTCGCCGGCCGCCTGCCTGCCAGCGCCGCCCGCCCTGCAGCCACTGGACCACCAGGGAGAGAGACCCCCCCGCAGCACTCCCAAAGGTAAGGAGGTTGGGGGGGGATTTAAATTTAAAAAAGTTAATGTGTGTGTGTTTGTGTGTGTGTGTGTGTGTTTGTGTCTGACTGTGTGTGTGTTTGTGAGTGTGTGTGTGTGTTTGTGTCTGTGTATGTCTGACGTGTGTGTGTGTGTGTTTGTGTCTGACTGTGTTTGTGTCTGTGTATGTGTCTGACTGTGTGTGTGTGTGTGTGTCTGTGTGTGTCTGACTGTGTGTGTCTGACTGTGTGTGTCTGACTGTGTGTGTCTGACTGTGTGTGTCTGACTGTGTGTGTGTGTGTGTGTGTGTGTGTTTGTGTCTGTCTGTGTGTGTGTGTGTGTCTGACTGTGTGTGTGTGCGTGTTTGTGTCTGACTGTTTGTCTGTGTATGTGCCTAGGGCAGCACAAAACCAGGATACACCACTGCATGGAATCAAGATCTAGTGTGTGTTCATGATCCAGATATAGTTACATACCTGAAAAGAGACTTGCGTCCATCTAGTTCAGCTTTCCTCACGTATGTTTTTGCTGTTGATCCAAAAGGCAAAAAACCCAGTCTGAAGCGTTTCCAATTTTGCCACAAACTAGGAAAAAATTCCTTCTTGACCCCAAAATAGCAGTCAGATATTTCCTTGGATCAAGCAGCTATTACCCCACTAATTAGAAATTATATCCCTATATGTTATGTTTTTGCAAGTATTTATCCAATTGCTGTTTAAACATCTGTATAGTCTCTGACAAAACCACCTCTTCAAGCAGAGAATTCCATATTCTTATTGCTCTTACTGTAAAAAAACCTTTTCTTTGCCTTAGATGAAATCTCCTTTCTTCCAGCCTAAATGTGTGACCTTGTGTCCTATGTATAGCCCTGTTTATGAATAGATTTCCAGATAAAGGTTTGTACTGGCCCCGAATATATTTGTATAATGTTATCATATCCCCTCACAAGTGCTGGATAGCTCAACAAACGATACTGTTTCAAACCATACCAAAGATGCTTAACTGGAATGACCCAGTTTTTGATGCCCTTGCTAGTTGTATCCTAAATAACAGTTGACCCTAGTGAAATAAAGTGCAGGAAACATTACATGCAAATAATCCTATCTACAAATAATGATGAAATATGGAATTTGCTAATAAACCACAAAATGACAACATGGATCAAATTAAGCTGTAATGAAAACAAGAAATAAACAACTCCATTCACTGTGTGTTTATTTATGCTGAAACAAAGCTTTCTCTTGCTTTTAGGAACATGGGCAGCAACAAAACAAATCAGAAAAAAACACAAACATATTTATTTATCATAAAGGGACACTTTAATGCCAGGTATACAAACATGTATTCCTGACACAATAGGTATGAAAAGGTCATTTAGGTCTTCGGCCCCCTTTACTCACCCCTTTTCCAGTGTCGCGTGTGTCTCCTACTCTGCCTCCTTGGCTGAGATCAACAAATCTGATGATCTCAGCCAATCCAATGCTTTCCCATAGAAAAGCATTGAGAGGCTATTGCACATGCACGGCAAAAAGCTGCACTGCACCAATGATGATTCAATGATGCTTTAACTGTGCAGCATTGTCCCTAGAAGCACCTCTAGTGGCCGTCTGAGTGACTGCCACTGTATGTGTCTCTAGGCAGCAATGTAAACACTGCCTTTTTTTGTTTACATTAAAAAGCCTGCAGAGACAGGCAAGACACACCAGAACCACTATGTTGAACTGTAGTTGTTCTGGTGACTGTAGTGTCTCTTTAATATAGGTTCAACCAAGGGTATCTCTTGCTGGTGGCTGTGTGCTCCAGCCCAGAATGTGGGATCCTATAGCCCTGAATCTTTTTGTCTATTCTTTAGTGCTCTCACTGGCAGGGAGAGCACAGTACAGACAAAAAGACCAAGAGGAGTTGGGGGCCAGCTGCAATATTGGGCAGACTATGGAGATCAGTAGATCTCCTCCACAGGTACAGCGTAACTTAGCTTCATGGTGCTGACAACTGATGCTTTTCCTGAATGGACACATTGCTTACTTTGTAGCATGGCCAGCCAGTGCTGTGTGAAGCAGGGATAGAATCTTACATCATGCTGTCTCAGTCCACTCCACACACAAAGCCTTGCAAGACCTTGATGTGCATCTAGTCATCGCACAAGCAGCATCAGAGGAACACATTGAAATGAGAGAGGTGGAGTGTGAAGAGGTATTGAAGGAGATAACAGAGAGACAATTTTGGATTGAAGGGGCATACCAGAGGGGAGATATGTTTGATGGAGGGGGATACCAGGGGAGAGAACTTTGGGAGGAGAAAATAAAAGTGGACTGTGTCTCTGTGTGCCTATCTATGTATGTGTCTATCTGTGCCGGTGTATGCCTGTGTCTCTGTGTACCTATCTGTGTGTATTTATCTGTGCCGGTGTAGGGCTGTGTTTGTGTGTGTCTCGGTATACCTGCCTGTGCCTTCGGCGCTGTGTTGGAGTTACGTCTTCGGCAACATCATCTGACCTATAGGGATTTCACTGACCATGGCCATATGCGTTATTTAGGGGAATCAAAGTCTGATAGCATCCAGGAAGTGCCTCTAGTGGCTGTCTGATTGACAGCCACTAGAGGAAGTCTTAGCCCTGCAAGGTAATCATTGCAGTTTCTCAAAAATTGCAATGGTTTACATTGTTAGACTAAGAGGGACAGGAACACTGCACACAGACCACTTCAATGAGCTGAAGTGGTCTGGGTGACTATGGTGTCCCTTTAAGTGGTGGAGCCAGTGATAGTGGGGTTTGAGGAGGGAGTTCACCAAATATTTTTTTTGTCCCTAGCAACACCACTGAGTCTAAAACAGGATTTGACTTTCACATGCTACATTGGCTGCTAAGACTCTGTTTTTCTGTTCAATATAAGTGGAAAATCTCAGTAAACAAAACAGAAATTTTCTACAAACAATTGAGGAGTTATCCCTTAATTCAGCTGAAAATCAGAGATTAAAACTGAGCAAAAATTGAAGTCACGTATACTCCAATTACATAGATCTGAAAACCCTCTAAGTTGTCCAGACAACACAATGTTGTATAGAATTGACAGGGCAGAAAACCGAATTTGTTGGCAAAAACATGTGAGAAATGTATATGTATATACACACACACACATACATACAATACAATACAATACTGATTCTAAACAAACAACATGGCTGGAGTAGAATTAGTTATGTACAATAACACATTGCATATCTTTACCTTTTAACATTCTTGATGCACATGTTGTCTCTATACCACAGGTGCTAAAATTGTCTTTAATTGCAAAAGGAATTCCATCTAACAAACCCAGGGGCTGGCCTGTAGTTGGAAGAGACAATAGATCAATATACAAGATACCTAAAATAAATGGCAATTATAGCAGTGCATATCAAACAGACATGTAAGCCCTTGCATGGAAAATCAGGTATTCATCGTAACTATAAGCTAATTTAAGAAGAAGAACTCTTTTCACCAAGTTTCTGTTCACACCAATTTTTCATTTATTTCCCGTTTTACAAGATGTTAAATGTGCTTATAAAATAATTCAGGCACTCAAGGATAAAAGCCAAAATAGCGGCTTTATTTAGAGGAAAACAACAGCAACGTTTTGACCCAGCAGGGTCTTTGTCAATGTTTCAATCCAGCAGGGTCTTTGTCATTGTTTCAATCCAGCAGGGTCTTTGTCAATGTTTCAATCCAGTAGGGTCTTTGTGAGCTTGCTCTTGTTTTGCTCTAAATAAAGCTGCTATTTTGGCTTTTATCCTTGAGTGCCTTGATCAATACTGATTTCCTATATCTGGAAGTGAGACCTGGCCATCCTCAGGTTCTGAGCACCCTGGAAGCCTGGAGAGTGTGGTATCCATTATCTTTTTTACTTTAAAATAATAATTGACCATTTCAGACCAAAAGTAGATGAACATTTACACTATTGCCTACAATTTACAATATCCTTGTCACTGTACATTTCAGATTAACTTAAACTATATCATAATTTTCACTTAAAGATATATACAAATTCCTCCTCATTGCCATAAAAATGTCTTTCCAGAGCTGAGGTTTTCTTGTTCACTTGTCAACCTCCCATGGCGTCATCCTCTGGGGTGATCCAATTCAATGATCATTGTAGATAAGCATTGGGGACCTGATGTGCATGCATTCAGTGCTTTCCTATGACTTCTGCATCATATGACTGAGTACAGTGGAAGCACCTCTAGTGGCTGTAACCCTGAAAAATAAACCCCCCAAAAATTGCAATGTTTTACATTGCATGGTTAAAATGACACGGCCACTGCACCCTACTCAATGTAATTGTCTGGGTAGCTTGAGTATCCCTTTAAGGTGTTTGAGAGAATGACAAAGTGTACATTTTCACTACTGAGCATGCAAAATTCCTAAGTTCAGCTGAGGCTCTCAGTCAAAGGATTGCATCCAAATAAGATGAAACTAACATATCTAATGGATAAGTACGAACTTAACAATATTTGAAGAAGGGCCATACGTCCAACAACCACCGGACCCAGGTAATTGTCAAACTGTTTAAAAAGTTAAACTTTTACCTGCAGGCAAGATTAGGGGAGTCCTGGTACCATAACAAAACAAAAACCCAAACCAATATAAAGATAACAAACCCTGGCTAAATCTTTTGTCTGCTTCTGCTGCTTGCTTCAAAGCAACCTCTTCAGTTACAGTGATGTATGCGTTAAGAAATGATGATTCTTTGATAAATGAAAGGCACTTCTGGCACAGTTCCGTAGCGCTCACTTGTCCAAGACGTAATGCTGCTGCTGCCTGCAAAAGATACATTGCAAATAAAGATTTCATACCAGCATAGGTTAATGCTATGTTACATAAGGTGATAAAAAGGAACTATCACGTCTCTGGAAATCACATAATTTAAAAATCATCTATAACTTATGTTAACATTTTTATATAATGTTCTTTTTTGTTTAAATATATATTAAAAGATCAAAATAAAGTTCAGGTCTGTCACAGCCAAGGAACACATTACACAGTAGTCTAGGTTGCAAAAAGACTAAAGTCCATTGAGTTCAACCTTGAAACCCATTCTTTTATGCTGTTTATCCAAAGGAAGGCAAGGTACTGTAATTTAAATTGCTGAAAAGTTTAATGCAGGCCATGATAGAAAGGTGTCAGAGCACACAGTGCAACGCAGTGTGCTGCATATGGGATTGCATAGAGAAAGTGGTCAGAGTGCCCATGATGACCTCTGTCCACTGCCTTTAATGGGGACGAGAGCATCAGAACTGGACCATGGAGCAATGAAAGAAGTTTGCATGGTCTGATGAATCTTTTAGATCGGGTGAATGGCTGGGAGTGTGTGAGTTGTTTACCTGGTGAAGAGACAGCAGCACAATGCACTATGGGAAGAAGGCAGGCAAGCAAAGGGAATGTTATGCTCTGTGCAATGCTCTGCTGGAAATCCTTGGGTCCTGGCATTCATGTGGAAGTTACTTTAAAACATACCACCTACTTATAGACTGTTGCAGACCCTTCATAGTAATGATGTTCCCTGATGGCAGTGGCTTCTCTCAGCAGGATAATTCACCTTGCCACAATGCAAAAATTGTCTAGGGGTGGTTTGAGGAACATGACAAAGAGTTCAAGGTGTTGCCTTGGCCTTCAAATTCGTCAGATCTCAATCCGATTGAGCATTTGTGCAATGTGCTAGAACAACAAATCTGATCCATGGAGACTCCACCTTGAACTTGCAGAACAGTTTAGGAACCATAACAACTTCATCTAAATTAAGCTGTTATGGTGCCAGGAGGTTCCCAGGGGCACTCTTACCTTAAGGGGATAAACCGTTCTTAAACGGTTTAACCCCAAAATTGTCTCTAGCGGCTATTTCAGCTTCACATGCGCGGCATCTGGCTTCTGAAATTTCACTTTCAAGTAGTGCAAGTTGCCTCCAGTGCCAATCTCAACTGAATTGACTCCCCATTCATAAAACTGTCTTGGAAAGAAACGTACCTTTTCCAAGCCAGTTTTGTGAAAGGGGAGTCATTGATTGGCTCCAGCTAAACTCATAGAGAAGCCTGTGATTGGACCAATTGGCAACTGGGAGCAAATGGGCTCGAGGCCGGCAAATGAAAGGAGGGAAAAGAAGTGCATTTGCAACACATTTTATAAATTAGAAGGGGAAAAAAAGGTCGCATGCATGCACATCCTTTTAATGTATTAGGACAGATTCGTGATCCCCTCCACCCCCCCGAAAAAACAAGAGCTATAACACAAATGGAGCATGAAAGTAAAAAGAATGCATCAATCTACAATTAGTTTTTGTAGCATAAATTTTTTTTATTTTGTTTATGCTTACCCAAGTGTTAATTGCGTGGCTCTAATATTTACCTGCTTGGCTGTGAATAATAGCACAGCAATGGAGATAAGCACTTAATGATATGCAGGTTTTACTCACTGACTGTGTACTGGTTTGCTTTAAAGGAACACTCCAGTGTTCTATATAAATGCATAGATTACTCAGATCCCCTTTTCCTGATACATTTTGGCATCGTTAATATGCTGTATTTTTGAATGCTCAAGTCTACATTGCACGTCTAACACTACCTCTAGTGGCTGTCAATCAGATGGACTTTGGTAGGCTAACGGACGCTGAAAATCCTCACGATATGCATGAGGACATCTACCATCAGTAAAATGCCAATAGAAAGTCACGGAAACAATGCTTTCCTATGTGGAGAGCCTGATGCACTTGTGGCGCATGTGCATTAGCCCCTCCTGTCGGATGACGTTGGAGGAGGCTGAGGAACATTGGTGTTGAAATCAGGTAAGTGACTAAAGTTTTTTTTTAACCCTTTATGAACTAGAGGGCTCTATAGTGTTAGGAATACAAATTTATATTCCTAACAATGTAGAATCCCTTTAAAAACAGTTCATACAGTACTGTTGGGGCTGAGACTGTGTGCACACCTTTGATGGAAAGTCTTTCTGACATGAATGGGCGTGGCTATGGAGGCAGGCTTATGGTGTAGCATTCTTCAAAACATTTAAAAAAAAATTCTGTGCAAAAACTAAAAAGATTTGAGCATGCAAAAAATACAGCATTTTCATTAAAGCCAAACCCTATCAAATGCATTAAAGTTGTATTGGTGTCCCGAGTGTTCCTGTGACGCTTTACTAAAGCTCTCCTAATCAACAGAATTCTTCTCAAAGAAAGTCATTGGGATAGTGGGAAACGTGCAGCAATCCCCACAGTAGTGGTAATTTTGGCGGAAACCTTCTATTTAGTTTTAGTCATAGTCTTTTGACTAAAAAGCCATTTTCGTTTTAGTTATCTGAATTGTTTTAGTCGCCTAAATCTCCAGTAGATTTTAGTCGAGACAACTAAAATCTAATGAGTTTAGTTAAAGGACCACTATAGTGCCAAGAAAACATACTCGTTTTCCTGGCACTATTGTGCCCTGAGGGTGCCCCCACCCTCAGTGTCCCCCTCCCGCCCGGCTCTGGAAAGGGGAAAGGGGTTTAAACTCACCTTTTTCCAGCGCTGGGCAGGGAGCTCTCCTCCTTCTCTCCTCCTTTGTTCCGCCCCGTCGGCTGAATGCGCACGTGCGACAAGAGCTGCGCGCGCATTCAGCCGGTCGCATAGGAAAGCATTTACAATGCTTTCCTATGGACGCTGGCGTGCTCTCACTGTGAAAATCACAGTGAGAAGCACGCAAGCGCCTCTAGTGGCTGTCAATGAGACAGCCACTAGAGGATTAGGGGGAAGGCTTAACCCATTCATAAACATAGCAGTTTCTCTGAAACTGCTATGTTTATTAAAAAATGGGTTAACCCTAGCTGGACCTGGCACCCAGACCACTTCATTAAGCTGAAGTGGTCTGGGTGCCTAGAGTGGTCCTTTAAAGCCCCGATGTGTCACTTTTGCCACTTCTCCAGCCCATCTAGGTGTCTCTCTCCAAGCCCTGATCTGTCTCTTTTGCCCCTTCGACATCCCCTTTGTGCAGTGTTAATTTTGGCTGCAAATTTCAATTTAGTTTTTAGTCTTTTGACTAAAAATCCATTTTAGTAGTATTTTAGTCATCTAAATTATTTAAGTTTTAGTCTAGTTTTAGTCGACTAAAATTGATAGTCGAAAAAAATTAAACACTGCTCAACACTTTGCAAGCAATACTTGCAATGTAGTGCTTCTCTATAAAAAAAAACAAAAAAAAAACTATTGCCTTCAGCATTGTTCTGTGGAAGAAGAGTGCTCTCTCTCTTTAATTGGGCACTTTCACTAAATGACAATGAACTGCTATGTGGGTATGGAGAGTTCCTTCAATGAAGTAGTTTTAAGATCAAATTACCATTTTAATCCATCAAATGTATTAGTGGAACACTCTAAGCACCATAACCAATACTGTATTCTTTTGCGGTTCAAATGTAAATTAGTCAAACTGTTTTAGAAAGGTTACATTTTTAACCTGCGGTCCCCCCCTCTTAAAGAGCCAAAAGGAGGTGCAGGTTTTTGACTGAGAACAGTCCTAGCTCCTGCAAGAGCTCCTGGCAATCAGGAGGAGGAGAGGCGTGCAGTGGTACCCAAGTAAACAGTCAAACAATCCTAAAATGCTTTGACTACTTACATTGGAGAAAGGGGCACCAGATTACCATAAGCACTATGTGCAGTAGTAGTTATGGTGCTTGGAGTGTTCCTTTTAAGTGGGTTAAATATATATAACAGTCCCACCTAATGCACAGAGGTATTATAATACACATAATCAGCCCTAACCAATGGATTACATAAAATGTACAACTAACCCTTAATTCAAACATTTCAAGTCTTTATTTACAACAATTTTGCATGCAATCAATATATTGAACAGACCATCACAGAATGTAATTCCTGGTTTACGATCTATGCCAGAGCACTTTGAGACAGTATAGCATAAGGACAATAGAATAACATTACTGTGCTAACATTGAAGCAATGACAAGTGCCTCTCGTAACAAAGTAAACTGTTTCTCTAAACTCACCTCGCGTAAACTAGTGCCCAACATTATTCCTGCACCCACTAAACGGCACCAGTCCGTGCTGGGCACTTACAGGAAGCTGACATGTTTTGGTTGGCAAATTGATCGAAAGCCAATGCGGTAGAGCGTTATTGGATCACTTTGAGTATCCCGCACTACTACTGGTCGAGATGGAATCGAGGCTCGAAACGCAGACATGTATAGAGGACACACAGGAGATCTCACTGACAGTTGTTTCTGTAGCATGCTTAGTGTTCTGTGTAAAGAAGCGACGAGCATTCTATTATTCTTAATGTTCCATTAGTTAGAGAGTATCGTTATCAAGACATCTGGCAGACGTGGGTGGAAAGGCGGCATGCTGACATTAGCCTGTTAATTTTTTTTTAAATATATTTGGGACATTTCTTTATGTACCTGTCTTTGAGTGCATGATATGCCGCAGAGAGAACAGTTAATCCCAATAACATTATAGTTAGAGCGATATATTTGTATGATGTATGTACCCCAGCTGCTATAGCATTGAGAGGAATATATATATATATATATATATACCAGTTCTGCTCTTGTGCTAAAAAATGTTTTCTCTTACTCAAAGGAGATTGTTTAGTGTGCTTTTCAGAGGGAGTGTTACTAAAACATTCAAAAATGATCACGCTTTCAAGAGTTGCCCACATCTTAGAAAAATCAGCACTTCCTGCAAAAGGAATACAGTCATGCCAGCCTGGGTGATTGATAAATATGGCAACAATGAGGTGTTGCGACTCAACAACAACACAATGTTTCCGGTTATCAATTACCCCAATGAAGTGATCATTAAAGTCCAGGCATCCAGTATAAATCCGATTGATGTGAATATGCGAAGTAAGTTGTTTTCTTTATGTACAACAATGTTGAATAAGTTGAGTTTATCTAACCAGTTATTTACTTCACAATTCTGTTTTTTTAAGACGTGTGTAAGTTCAGTTGTGCGTTTTATACCCCACCTCATATAGAATGTAAGCTCGTTTGAGCAGGGTCCTCTTCAACCTATCATTCCTGTAAGTTTACTTGTAATTGTCTTATTTGTAGTTCAATCCTCCCCTCCCCCCTCATAATATTGTAAAGCGCTACGGAATCTGTTGGCGCTATATAAATGGCGATCATAATAACTACTTGGCTTAACATAACTAGTACGGTTCAAGGTAAGTATAATATTAGAAGAATTCTTTCTGTTATTGATTTAATGTAATAATTCTTTATTGTCAGAATGGACCCCATTTTTAATGTCCCTTCTGATACGTTTTGTACTCGTATATTATACCTTCGTCACTGTTTTGTTCTACAATATTACTGTTCCGGATTAATCACTACACAGAGAATTGTGGTTCATTAACAAGGGACTAGCAAGGTTTTAACCCCTTAAGGACCAAACTTCTGGAATAAAAGGGAATCATAACATGTCACACATGCCATGTGTCCTTAAGGGGTTAAGCAAAATTAGCCAATGTGCAACAATAACAATAGAGTAGCATTGTGGATGAGATGTGCATGTGCAGCGAGCTTCGTGCTTGTCCAATCAAATTCTTCTCAACGATAAACACTGAATCCAGTGCTTCCTTACGATAAGCATTTGATGACTAAACTCCGTCGTATCAGTGAACCACCCACTAGTGGCGGTCAGTTTAGCTCTGCAATGAAAACATTGCTGCATCTAAAAAAAAAAACGGCAATGTTTTACATTGCAAGACCAAAAGGAGAAGGGCAATCCACCCAGACCACTTCATTGAGTTTAAGTGATCTGGGGGCCTATAGGCCTTAAAGACAACTACAGTGTCAGGAATACAAATGTGTATTCCTGACACCATAGGTCTAAATGACTGTTTACATCCAGTTAAAAAAGGTGATTTACTCACCTTTTTCCAGTGCCTCGCATGTCCTCGTGCCTATGTGCATGTGTGGCAAAACTCAATGCATCTCTATGGGGAAAGTTGCGCGGGAACGTCAATCATCTCTAGTGATTGTCTGAGAAGTGGCCACTGAAGGTGTCCCTAGGCAGTAAACACTGATTTTTCTCTTAAGGGACAGTGTTTACATGAAAATGCCTGCATGTACTGGCTATACTCACCAGGACAACTACATTGAGCTGTAGATGTTCTGGTGACTATAGTGTCCCTTTAAGTGGTGTGTTTTGTATACTAGTTTGACAGCACGTTTACTTACTTCCAAGTGATGATATAGAAATCCTTGAAAGATATCTTTTTGTAATGGATTTGCTGTGAGTAGCTTATGCAATGGTTAAACTGATCATGCTCCTTCTTTTTATAATGGTAATAGTCACAAAATTAAGATTTTAACAACTGTACATTTTTTTTCTAGATGGATACGGATCTGCAAGTTTGAATATGACTCGTGATCCTTTGAATATTAAATCTTCTGGCAATGAATTTCCTTTGATCCTTGGGAGGGATGTTTCAGGGGTTGTAATGGAATGTGGGCTCAGTGTACAGTATTTTAAACCTGGAGATCATGTAAGTGTGCAACAAAGATAGAGAAAGCATTTTACGTAACAAACGTAGTGAATGAAAAAGCTAATTGCAAACTTTAGGCTAAACAGTCCATCAATGACACCAGCGGAATTGGATATAGTTTCTAAATCAGCTACTGTTGCGTAAATTTTCCATTGAAGGTTTTTCAAATACTACAAGAGACTGCGGTATCTTACATAGAGCCTGGATCCCACGCTGGGATTGGACAAAAGTTGACGGGGGAGCTCTGCTTTTGTCAACTTTTGCCAGTGTCAGGTTTTACCATAAGACAAAGTAGCCACGTTCTCTCATGGTTTCTCTGGGTTTTTTTAATGCATACTGATCAAGACTGCATTGGAGTTTCATTGAAATTCCAGCTCAGTTTAGATTAATATTTCTTTATGAAATACTTTAAAAGTGATAGATTCGCTTTAACTCACATTTGTCTTCACTACTGGCTTCTGTATATATACCCAAATGTTTTTGACCTTGGACATAATATTAATACTGTAGAATTTCAGGATGCCTGTGAGCAGCAAGTTTTTTAAGAAAGTTGTTCACGTTTCACAGGTTATCTGCATTGAAGTGCAGCTTTACTAACCATATGTACTGAGGTCATTTGGCATAGCATAACATTGGACATATTGAAATAAATATGTAATGTGCCGTTATTTAATGTCATAAAATTATGTTCAGATAGCTTTTGTAATTTAACTATTCGTATTTTAACTCAACACAACCATAGCTAAAATGTGTCTTTGTAAGTGCATAAAACCATTAGCTAGTAGTAAACCGTTAAATAGCAGCTCTACACAATAGTGTGTGATACCCTCTTTCCTACACAACAAACACCTTCTGATGGTATAAGATATACTTATACCTCTAGTGGAGCACTAAAGTGGAAAAATTCAAGGGGTAACTAAACCCATTTGCCTTAGAGCCAGGAACGTAGGCTCAATATTTTATTGATTTTATACTGGAGATACTACACAGTGGTGGCCTCTCTCTTTTCTGTTTATCTTTTCCGGAGGAAACATTCCATTGAAGGAGTGGTGTGATGCTGTCCTACGAGCATAACAGCCATATATACGGAGCCAATATATATGGGCTCCATCACACGTGAGTGACCTGATTACCTATAGGTATATTATATATATATAATTACCATCTGCACTATATTATGTTCCTTTTTTTTTTGTATGTTATGTACTTTATATACACTCTCCTGTGTATATAAATACATATGAGGTGTAAGTTACTCGTATAATTTTTGCTCTTTAGTGCTCCAGTACATCTATAGTATATAAGTTTATCTTATACCATCAGAAGGTGTCCGTTTAATGTCTAGTTTACCGCCTTTTGTGATGGATTTCTTAAAATATAGGAAAACCGTGTAAAACATCATGTAGAATTAAGGGTGGTAGACCAAAAGAGAAAGTGGTATCAGTGAAATTATGGTTTGCAAGTTCTGATACATGTTTTTTCTTTGTAGGTATGGGCAGCAATTCCTCCTTGGAAGCAAGGCACTTTGGCGGAGTTTGTTGTAGCAAGTGGCAATGAGGTAGATACACATATACGATACATAATGTCATTAAGGGATCCGAAGGATTTCCACCTATGTAACAAACAGAACTCTTAACTTTACATAGCTATACCATTTAACTTAATCACTTTGCAACAAAATATGTATTTTCAATTCAACCATATATTAACGTTATTTCGATAGTGTAATCCTAGAATCACTCAAATCTAGTTTAATTTTATAACTACCAAAACCTTGAGAGAAGTGATTGAATATATTCTTTTCTTTTGTCCTTGGACACGCAAACATGCAAATGGTCAATGAAAAAGATAAGATGAAACTACTATCCATTAAACCAGAAGCCCTGTATTGGGAGACACTTGGCAGATTGCGTTGTAATATTTGTTTCCTCGTTCTGGTCTCTGTAGGTCTGCAGGTAGTACCCAGTTTGCCTCTGTTTATGCTTTGGCTATTCCCAATCAATATTTACACTTTATCTATTTGGATAATTTCCTTTTTCCTTATAACTTACGCCCAGGTCTTCTTTTCCTCCTATCCTGCAGCATTTAATTTCTTGTTTTCCTAAAATTATAGTATTTCTTTATTAACCATTTATTGTTCTTTTTTATATATTTTTTTTTTATCTTGTGACCCCCAAACCTGTCTGTGTCATCCCTAATCAACGCTGTAGAATTCGTAAAAGAATGATAACAACTGACCATATGATGTGTCAACTATCCAGCAACCATTATGCATTCATGAGAGCAGTGTATTGCCTATCCAAAAATGATTACATATTAAGCAGGAACCAAGCAGAGATTACACTAATTCTTGCTTATTTATTGCCCACATTCAGCACCTGTTTATCTTATTTCAATCAGTCCTACCAACCACAAGCAGCACTGATTAGTCACGTATCTGACACCCATCAACTAGACATGCATCGCCCACACATCTCCTATTTCACATTCAAAACCTTCACGGATTTACTTTTTCCCATGTTACAACTTTCTGTCAGTATAATTTCCAGTATCTTGTTCATCTACCAAACATATAATGCTCTTTGAGGTAGGCTAACTCCCTGATTTTTGCATCCCTCCCTGTTGCATGTGCCTCATTCCAGAGCCCTATTTAACCTTGCCCTGCAGAGGGTCTCAGGAGAAAGTATTTCCTAAGTGGTTAATCTCATAAGAGCAAGCATTAGGCTGCTAGAGTAGGACCTGCCAAGAATGGGCTACATTGGCGGCTGTTGTGGCAGACTTAAAGGACCACTATAGTGCCAGGAAAACATACTTGTTTTCCTGGCACTATAGTGCCCTGAGGGTGCCCCCACCCTCAGGGACCCCTCCCGCCCGGCTCTGGAAAGGGGAAAGGGTTAAAAACTTACCTTTTTCCAGCGCTGGGCGGAGAGCTCTCCTCCTTCTATCCTCCTCCGTTCCTCCTCCTGGGCTGAATGCGCACGCACGGCAAGAGCTGCGCGCGCATTCAGCCCGTCGCATAGGAAAGCATTTACAATGCTTTCCTATGGACGCTTGCGTGCTCTCACTGTGAAAATCACAGTGAGAAGCACGCAAGCGCCTCTAGTGGCTGTCAATGAGACAGCCACTAGAGGATTAGGGGGAAGGCTTAACCCATTCATAAACATAGCAGTTTCTCTGAAACTGCTATGTTTATAAAAAAATGGGTTAACCCTAGAAGGACCTGGCACCCAGACCACTTCATTAAGCTGAAGTGGTCTGGGTGCCTAGAGTGGTCCTTTAAGCAATGTATGATCATATACTGTAACTAAGCCCTCATTATTTATTGCCTAGGCTAGAGGTATTTAAAAAAAAAAAAAAAAAGATTACATTCTGTGAGCCTTGAAATTGCTGTTTAGTGAATGAGCGAGTGTGCTAGAACTTGTATGTTGTAAGAATTGGCCCAGCACCCTTATAATGTAAGCATGTTCAAGTGAGTGCAGCCCTCTTGGTTCATGTATATATAAAATCTTTGTTTTGGCTGTCTATTGGCATCCCACCATGTTCAAGTGTGTTTTTGTTTTTGTTTTTTTTAAATAGGATATACAAATAACTTTTCCCAGTGATCGTGCATCTCACTTGTTTGCTTTCAGGAAGACTTTATTAATATTTTAATGTGTTGTCTGTTTATGTTTTCAGATTTCACTCAAACCAAAATGTCTTAGTGACACAGAAGCAGCATCGCTGCCTTATGTCAGTCTCACTGCGTGGGCAGCCTTAGTAAATAGCTGTGGCCTGAATAAGGACAACTGTCCTGGAAAACGGTATGTATAAAACCCAGCTTTAGTGCTACATGTTTCTTTATACTATATTACATTCCTCCCATGCACTCCCTTCCTTGTGTCTTGGATGTCTAATATATGCTTCATGTTAACATCGCATTAGCTGGTTTTAATCTGAATGTTTGATCCACTATACAGTTGTAAGTAAGTTAACAACATATATTGCAAAATATCTGTCTCACTATACAGATCTAAGATGCATCTTAATGTAGTGATTTTGGGGCATAAATACTGCTGCTGCAGGCTGCAGCCTTGCTGTGAAACTACCCTGTTTACATTTTGCAATCTGCACTCCTGATACTCAGAGAGACAGTTAGCCAATAGGGGCTTTGGACACACGTTCCAATGTGAAATATACTAGATTTCCAAAGTCAGAATGCAAATATACTGACCACGGACACTGTTGGAGTCATTCATTAAAGTGAGAATAAGGCGGAGCCTGAACGCCGGAGGGAACGGTCGCAAGAGAGACTAGCTCCGTGCCCTAAACGAAGTCACAACTGCATAAAATAACCCCCCCTTACACCAGGACCATCGGAACCCACCCTGAGCACGTATGGGCCGAAGGGGGAAAAAAATGGGCCCACACAAGCCCACATCGGGACTTACGCTAGGGGAAATGTGGAGTCAGGCCCGGGGCGCCTGCGAGTCAAACATGGCTGCGCTGCATGGCGGATGCTCGGACTTCTCCGAGGAATTATCTGACGACATGGAGGAAGACTACACACCGACTCCCAACCCCAAGCAAAAGGTACCACAACAGGGAGCCGGGACAGACTCTAAACCAGTTACCACGGCAGTCCTCAAAACACTGCTAGCGGACCTGCAGAAACACATCCACGAGGATGTCACAGCGCTCCGCACGGACATACAAGGCCTGACAGGCCGCATCTCCACTCTGGAGGGAGCCTCACAGGCCCAGGCCCAGGACGTAATTGCACTGCAGCACTCCATACAGGAGCTGCAACAACAGAACCAACAACTTGAACGTCGCATGGCAGCACAGGAAGACTCCAGGCGGCAAAATAATATCAAGATCAGGGGAGTCCCTGAAGAAATAGCGGAGGCTGATCTGCCAAAAGTCATGGGACGCTTACTGGCAGTGATTCTGGCAAACAGTCAAACCATAATACCTGCCCCAGAGGAGGTCTTTAGGGTCCCTAAACCTACGAATGCTCCAGCCACAGCCTCAAGAGATGTGATAATCACTCTCCGCAAACGAAAAGAAAAAGCAACAATTCTTGCAGCCCTACGGGGAAGAACCCCCCTCCGCTTTGAGGCCATGAACCTGACGTTCTACCCGGACCTCTCTGGAGGCACCCTGGCCTGGCGTAGGTCACTCAAGCCGATCACCGCCGTGCTCCAGTCCCACAACATCGAGTATCGCTGGCGATCCCCAAGGGCACTAACGGTGAAACAAGGGATGACTACGCATATCATCCAGGACATGCACGAAGCACGGGCCTTACTGCAGACTCTGGGCCTGCCACTTGAATCCCTCACCCAGGCGGAGTTAACCAACGATACTCTTTCAACCCATACCAGGACACCGGGCAAGGCCACATCACTCACTCCCCGAGACTCCACACCGATTACCTACGCAGCGGTCACATCCTAGGAGCGACACCACACATGCTCCGGGGGCACCCGACACAACACCAGACACTGGGATGGTAATAAATACGAAGTAAACGGGACCGTCCACAGTACCCCACAGCTACCCGACCAACAATCCGACTTACCTTACCAGTAACATAGCCGGCTAACGCTAACTCCAAGATACCGATGACTACAGCTTTGCCCTACTCTCGACCACTACGGACTCTAAAGGGCCCACCACAGAAAAATAACATGGGGACTATATATTACTCTGGGACATCTTTACCCATACTCTCGAGAGCATTGTACGCTCTATGCTTCCTGCCAGCCACTCACAAGAGTCCCATTCCCGGAGACATCACCACTCAATTCTTACTACACTGGTTTCGTTAATCCTGATGCAGCGGGTTAAACTTTAACATACCTGTGATATAGTGTAAATATGTTTTCGAACTCGTATTTCTTACTATGACATGCTACCTAGCCCCTCCAGCTGCCACAGGTGTTTAGACATCCGCTAACCAGTGATACCCTAAAGCAGTCTGTCATGTTTAACCTGTTTATAGTTAACCTGTTTAAGCATAACACGCAAGTCATACACCTTTTAAAAGGCGTAAAGATAAAAAGGCTGCCCGAAGTTTCGACTTATACTTTACTTCTGAACGTATGTTTCCTTAAAGCCTTTATTGTTATTAGATCCAAAATTAATCAGACTTAAGCCTTATATACGGGACCCCCCAGAGGCGATATAGCTATGCCGAGCCGAGGCACTGGCTGACATTGCCATGTGCCCTCGAGCAAGGTACCTATGCCCCCCTCAGGAATTACAGTCATACCAAGTTCGCCGGCACCAAAGCAGGCAATGTTTCACAGTTAATTTTATGCCTACTCGTATCTCGGCAGATTGCATTTACTCATCTCTCTAGCTCCCCTCCCTTATTTAACCGAAGCTAACTTACTGATTAATCTTTGTGTTTTAACTAGCCCACATATATAGCGGAACTTCGTACAAACTGCCCATGGCAAGCTTCCCTCGATATGGATACCTACAGTATAAGTGTCGTCAATAGCCTAAAAGTGTCTTAACTAAAACTTGCTAACCTGTTTCATAGTGACAATCTAACCTTAATTTCATAATGTTATTGCACTAGCTCTAAAAACAACTGCCAACCCACTCAACATATCCTTTAAACCTGTGGGTACCTAGGAATGTTATATCAATGCCTAGAATGAAACAAAATCTGTTGTTGAACTCAAAACTATATTGATAATAGTTTGTTTACTCTACCACTACTTATCTTACTTTATTTTAAAAATGTATGTAAACTTAACATGCCACACAACTGTTATAACTATGACTAGTGAACCTGCTAATGCTGTTGTGGCGATACAGGTAATGTTATACCTACTTGAATACCAAAAATAAAGAATTTAAAAAATTTAAGTGAGAATTCCAAGTGAACGCACAGTGAGTTTCAAATTTAATAGTTGAGATTCAAAAACGATTTCTAAGTCAGTTATGGTTTCCATTCAGGTACTCTGCCCTTAAATTTAAAGTTCAGGTTGAATTCTCATTTAAGTAAATTACCCTTTGTGTGTCCAATGCTCTTCTTTGCAAAAATAATTGGATTCAGTGCTTCTCATAGAGAAGTATTGGATTTGTGGATTGCTGTGCTTACTGTGCATGCACATTGTGTTCTCAATGCTTTCTCTGAGAAGTATCTGATTGGACAATAGTCTGGATAGATGACTTCACAGAAGGTGGAAGACTGTCTTGGCATTGGTGATGTGAAATAAAATTAGATATAGGTTTTTTTTTTTTTTTAAATGGGCAAATATTCTAAAGCCAAACAACAACATATCTGTTTAAAAGGAAAAAAGTATACCTTTAAATCAGCACAGTCACTTTTGCGTTTTTCATAACCATAGAATCTTTGTGGAAAACCCAAAAGTATGTTGCTTTTTTTTTAATGGAAATTTCAGCTTTTTAAAAAAATATCATAAGAGGAAACAGGGACTACTTTATCTTATAGGCAAGACTGTTTTTGGCAATGGATTGAATAAAAAGTTATAATGTAGCTCCTTCCAGATGAAAATTTTAGGAACTAAAGACATGGACCAAGAGCAAGGTGGCGGTTCTGATGGGTTAGTGGTTCTAATAAGTATAACTTACCCGAACACCTATTTTGTTTTTAATATGAGCCAAAGGGTTATGGGTTGGAATTGAGCATTGTGGTAGCAAACATTAAAGGGATTCTCCAGTGCACTGCAGGGCCCTCTAGTGCCCCTCTACCTCCCACCCCCCATCCCAAGTTGCTGAAGGGGTTAAAACCCCTTCAGTGACTTACTTGAGTCCAGCGCCGATGAGCCTTGGTGCTGGTCAGGCTACTGACATCGCGACCTCATGCGCGGCCGTCTGGCGAAGGAGACCTAATGCGTACGCGCATTAGACCTCCCCATAGGAAAGCATTATACAATGGTCAGGCTCCTGACGTCGGCGGGGGAGACCTAATTAGGTCTAGTAGACAGACACTAGAGGAGAACTTATATGAAAACTGCAATAATTACACATAATAGTGCAAAAAACAAAAGTGGAATACCGCGCCAACAAAATATAAGGTGACTATAAAGAATAAAAAGTATATATATACATACAAGATAGTTCAACAATATACTGATTGGATGTCAACCTTTTAAAAAGAAATAAAATATGGACAATAATAGTGCAGTAAGTCAAATAAAATAATATAATCTCATGTGAGGTATTTGAAAAACTGATAGAAGGACTAACTCACACTTTCCAGAGCTACTAGGAGCTCTACTGTATGGCGCCTGGACGGTATAATCCCTGTCTTAGGATATGGAATCAGTGATGAGGCGTAGCTTCTAAGTCTCCACAATAGTACATAAAACAGAGAACATAGATAAAATCCAATAGTGCAGTATATCTGGTGAATAGTGTATAGTAGAGAAGGTAAGTATCTTACTTACAATTTCCAGAGCAATAAACTTGCTCTGGTGATGAAAGCTTGAGGTGGTATAATCCCCACCTGAGGATTTTAGAAGGGTCCAAGGTGCACCAGGAACGGAAGATGTATGAGGGAGCAGAGTAAAGAGTAAAACTATAAATTTATTATAAAATAGTACAAAATATAAAATATATATGGCAATAGTATAATCAAGAACAAGTCTCTAGCTCCACTTGACGCGTTTCGCCCTGAACAGGGCTTCCTCAGAAGTTTACAGATCGGCAAATTCAGTCCTGGTTATATAGGGTATACTGATTAATTCATCCTGTTCCGGTGTGTGCACTTTTCCGGTTTCCGGCGTGTCGCGTGCGTCGACCGGAAATGAACCAACGTGAGTCGCCGGGGTTGATGGGTCTTGTAGTATCTTCATTCGTATTGGCACCGGAAGTTGCGGACGTCACCCAGAAGTGACGTAACGCAACTGCCGGTGATTTCTGGGAAATGTAGTCAAAAGTAATTACTTATAGTGTTCAATATTACAATTGACACAAAATATTTAAATGCAAGAATTACATAAAATTTATAGCATATTGCACATAATTTTGTGGCATATACACATGTATGCATATATAAGATACACACATAATTAATACAAAACTTCAATATATACCATGCAGTTCCTACAGTAGAATAAGATGGATAGAATAAAAGAAGGACAGATGGACATTTGTGGTATTAATTTATACAACCCAACAATGTGTATTATTATGTACATAGACATAGGAGAGGAGGAATTTTAAACAATATGATATTAAAAGATATTTAATTTTTATAAGATATTCTAAAATAATGTATTATAATAGGACTCAATAATAATAACTGAATAACAAAAAATTAACAAAAAATTAATTAATAAAAAATATATAATTATATAAAATATATGGTTTATAAAAAATTCAAAAGATCAAATTCGACATTTAAGCCGTTTGGATACAGGGTATCTAAAAAATATACCCACTCCATTTCTTTTTTTTCCCAATTTTTTAATAATATCACCCCCTCTCCAATGTTGGGATAATCTCGTGATGCCCACAAATTTCAACAAACGTGGATCTTTATTGTGCTGTTCAAAGTGGGAAGATACAAGGTGATTTTTAAACCCTTTCTCAATGTTTCTACAGTGTTCCCCAATTCTAATTTTTAGGGGTCTGATGGTTCTTCCTATATACTGTAGTCCGCATGGGCATTCCAACAAGTAAATTACATTTTTGCTCATACATGTAATCGTCTCTTTAATTTCATATTCTTTGTTGGTATTATATGATTTAAATTTTGACGTATGCTTATTAGTCTTCTGGGTTTTTCTACAGGCTACACGGCAATTACATCTAAAAAATCCTTTTTTATTATTTAGAAAATTATCTACAGCTTTCGAGTTTTTTTGTTTTGTATAATTTTTGGTGAATTGCATCTTTAAATTCGGGGCACCTCTAAACACTATTTTTGGGCGATCCAGGATGATTTTCCCTAAAATTGTGTCTTCTTCTTTTAATAAATGCCAATTATTTCTGATTATTTTCTGCAATTGCTTATTCTTGTTGTTGTAATCCAGAACTAGAGGTAAGGTCTGTTTTATGTACTATTGTGGAGACTTAGAAGCTACGCCTCATCACTGATTCCATATCCTAAGACGGGGATTATACCGTCCACGCGCCATACAGTAGAGCTCCTAGTAGCTCTGGAAAGTGTGAGTTAGTCCTTCTACCAATTTTACGAATACCTCACATGAGATTATATTATTTTATTTGACTTACTGCACTATTATTGTCCATATTTTATTTCTTTTTAAAAGGTTGACATCCAATCAGTATATTGTTGAACTATCTTGTATGTATATATATATACTTTTTATTCTTTATAGTCACCTTATATTTTGTTGGCGCGGTATTCCACTTTTGTTTTTTGCACTTTTCTGATTATTAGCAGGTATTGGGAAGCCCTGCTGGTTTGCTGCTGCCGCATTTGTAGTCACTATAGAGAGCACCTATACTTGTTTCTTTTCAATAATTACACATGCAGGGTTAAGGGAAGTGGAAGTTGGCACCCAGACCACTCCAATGGGCAGAAGTGGTCTGGGTGCCTGGAGTGTCCCTAAAAGTAGAATCTCAAATAGGGGTCGACCAATATAGATTTTTTTTTTTTTTAGCGCCGATATCGATAATCTATGAACTTTCAGGCCGATAGCCGATAACTTACCGATACCGATATTCTGTACATTTACCATTTAAAAAAAAACAAAACACTATTTCTACACAAATCTACTGTTAACTGAACGTGTTTATTATTTATTTATTTATTGGGGGAGCAATGGATCAGTTTAGCACTGGGGCCCCATGGATTGTGTGTAACCCATTGCTTCTATCAGAGTATTATGTTTCTTGCCCTGCTAATTGTACAGGTAGTTTATTTTATCATCAGTGCCAAAGAAATTAAGTAAGGGGAAATAAGCCACAGTTGTGTTTGGCTTAGCCCCATATGATGTTCAATCCTGAAACAGGGTTGCTCTGAGTACCTTTGAAAACATCAGGCACTAAAGTGGAATAAAGAAATTGGACGACAAGCAGCAACCAAAAGACCTTGTCACGAGTACCTGCAAATGTTAAATGAAAGAAAGATCTGTAATAATGAAGTTACAGGAAAGATCTGTTAACTGGCTCGTGAAGGAGGAGCTCTAGGTAACTTTTAAAGGACAACTATCATGTTCTTTCTTTTTGTATTTTAAAATGTTTATTACATTAAATGAGACATAATGATATTTTTAAAATGATGTATTTAGATTTTTTGGAGAATATTTCAATTTTTTTACCTTTCTGAATCGCCATGTTGGGTCAGATAAGCTGCTGCTATGATTGCTCTGTGTGAGACTGCAGCAGCAGGCAAGTTGGGATGAGCAGTAGTTGGTCTGATAACCGAGTCTAAAACAACATGACTGCTCAGCCTGATACAAAAGTGAAAGCAATATACACATTTTGAAAACAATGTATGAGTGTTTCATTGAATGTAATACACTTTAAAAAGAAAAAGAAATTATGCAAAAAAACGGCAAGGACTGACTATACTCACCAGAACTACATTAAGCTAAATTAGGAGAGTTTGGATCTCATTCTTCAAATAACCTTCAATATGCCAATGTTAACAGAAAGAATTACATTTCTGAATCTTAAAGGGACACTATAGTCGCCAGAACAACTACAGCTAATTGAATTTGTTCTGGCAAGTAGAATCATTACCTTCAGGCTTTTTTCTGTAAACACTGTCTTTTCAGAGAAAATTCAGTGTTTACATTACAGCCTAGTGATAACTTCACTGGACACTCCTCAGATGGCTGTTAGAGATCTTTCCTGGGACATGGCTGCCTAAAATGCATCCAAACATTCAGTGTCTCCTCCCTCTGCATGCAGACACTGAACTTTCCTCGTAGAGATTAATTGATTCAATTCATCTGTATGATGAGATGCTGATTGGCCAGGGCTGTGGTTGAATCATCCTGGCTCTGCCCCTGATCTGCCTCCTTGTCAGTCTCAGCCAATCCTGTGGAGAAGCACTGTGATTGGATCAGGCTACCACTTCTGATGATGTCAGCAGTCTGCTTGTTTTTTCTGAGGCAGACAGGGCAGAGCCAGCAGCTTCAGGCTTGAATACAGTAAGATTTTGCTATATTTATGGAGGCATGAGGGGCCCAGGGGGGCTACATGGTGGTTTTAACACTATTGGGTCAGGAATACATGTTTGTGTTCACTGACCCTATAGTGATCCTTTAATTTTTCCTTTTTTGTGCATGAACAAACCAGTCCATCACCAGAACTGTCATTTAACCTAATATCTACAGAGTATCATTTCAAATAGTATTAACTGGGTACTGGCAGAAGAACCAATGCTAAAATAATTCTTCAAAGCAGCTAGTAATATGCTTCCATGTAAACCCGTATGAGTGTCAGCTTCTTTTACTAGAGCATCAGTTCTTTTAAATTTGGAAAGGGGCTGCGTTAGTAACTTTATATACATCCGTAAATGTTTCAAATACGTCCTTAGCACATGTCCTATTAGGGCAGTACATGGACTTCCTTACTCTTGATACATTATAAACATATTGGTCTGGCTTCATCTGTGTTCTGTCAGAAGACTATAGGATTGATATCTCACTTGTGTTGCATTTAATGGACTGTATACAAAAGGAATTCTAAGTACCAAGCTAATTGGTTTGGTGCAAATTTAGGTTGCATTAACGACCTGGGCAGAAATATTAAGCTAAATCCCTGCCTTACTGTCTTTCAATTAGTTTCCTTAATTAAGAATTGCTCTGTACTTTGCAATTCCCTGGTTCCCATGACTGTAGTATCATATGATTTTTACATCATGTTAGCAACCTATTCATAAAATGTATATCCTAAAAATTCTATTTTTGATTGTGTATTGAGGTGCACACACATCTGGCTGCTTACACAAGCCACACTGGAAAAATCTAGAATGCCGGAAGAACAAGAATATAAACATCTTCGCTAGCATAGCAACGCATGGATACATTTGTATTATGTTTTAAAGATCATTTTATCATAAATCTATTTTAAATAACAGACTGGAAAACAAAAGATGCTGACTAATAGTAATAGATTGTGTCAGTACCATTAGCTCTGTTAAGATGCTCTGTTCTGTTGTGTACACATTCTCATTAAATGTTTATATATATTTTTTTTAATATAGAGTACTGGTTATTGGCGCCTCAGGTGGTGTTGGAACAGCTGCCATCCAGGTACACATTTTATGTTCTACTTATGCGTTCGTTATATAGCACAGTTAATATGATATAGCTTTGTTGAATTGTAACTACATCTATCACTGCAACTATAAGCCCACCCCTCTGCTCAACTACATCACTGGCAAAACGCCTCCCTGCTGGCAAATGCCCAGAAGCCATTGTTTTCCGCTCCACCGCTTGCAGTCGGTTTCAAACCGTTGTATGTGGGAGCCTGATGATTGGGGGACAAAAATAAAATAAATGGAGGTATTGGGAAGGTAATAAAACCACACCACTATTTATGTGTCCATGTGCATCATTATAATCCGTTCTGTACTAAACTACATAAACCTTTTAATCCCCTGCTCTTTTAGCATTTATCAGATATATGCTTAACACAATGGAATTTCTTAGATTTCAACCGTAGCATAATCCAGGGAGGGTGCATTGTAAAGGTTGTGAATTCTGAAGCTTTATGACAAATGAGGGAACTTTGAAGGCAGTTTATCTTTTTATTTATTAATTTTGTATTTTCGTTTTGTTTATTCGACTGTACTTGAATGCAAAAACACTCTAGTTCCAGTTCTCAATGTTGTGTTCATGTTAAAATGTTAGCTAATGTTGATTTTGTTTTATTTTTCTCACAAAACATCAAACGTTTCAGCTGCTAAAAGCATGGGGTGCACATGTGACAGCAGTTTGCTCTGAAGATGCCCTCTCCCTAATGATGAATCTTGGAGCAGATGACGTTGTTGATTACAAAGCAGGAAACTTGAAAGAGCAGCTAAAATCACGGCAACTGTAAGTGTGACTAGTGTGTGTGTGCTCCCAAATTGGTGCAGCATTTAACCTGCCCCTTAGAGTTGCCAGTCAGCCCAACAAACCATATTTCAGGATTGCGTGCGTTATTTTTGTCCTAGTTGTGCTCACAGCCCATGAACATCAAACTAAGTTCTCCCTCCTCTCAGTAGCTGCACACACCCTAGTTCAATACACAATATGTCTGCTGTCAGATTTTAGAGTTTGTTTTCCTGGCATCTATAGTGGTCCTTTAACGTACAGCATGGCCAAAACAGTCCGGTCCTTAAGGGGTTAAATGTCCCCAACCGTATTATATATTTGTATCATGTTACATTTTTGCTTATAATAATTTTCACACATCCAGGGCAGCTAAATAAAAAGAACTCAAAACAGATTCACATATCCGTCCTGATCGTTAAATGCCTAATATGTCTAGTATCTAAATTAATTTTTTTGTTGTAAACGCTAATCCTGTACTATTCATCCCCCAAAGCAATACCAATCATACCCTAACCCTACGATTGTTAATGCTAACCGTACATCTACCCTAACGTTAACCCTACACTATCCTTAGCCTTAAAACTGCAATTACCTTAACACTAACTGTACAATTAACCCTAACCCTATGGAAACCCTTTGCTAATATTAGTACTGATATTAGCATATGGATTTCCTAGTAAAAATAGTAATGTTATGTTGCCGCCATCTACTGGCTGTTTTCATTATGGCAGGTTAATTTCCCCGTAATATGGAAATCAAACATTCTGTCCCAGCCAATTACACTGTAAAGGGTTCTGGGCAGCTGGCAAAGCCCAGCACCAATCACAGTCAGCATGGAAGACTATGTCAGGATCTCACTTAACCCCTTAACGAACCACTTCAAAAATAAACGGGAATCATGACTGAATATTTCCGTTGTGTGTCCTTAAGAGGTTAAGTAGCTGCCAGTTGAGAATCACCGTGGCTGAGCACAATCTGTTAAGTCATGGTGTTCTTAAAGTATTGACAGGGCTGTATGCAATGCTCACTTCCATTTGTATACCTGCATAGAATTACATGTACTTGGCTTAGGAGAGGAGCAGCATGCAAAATCAAAACAATGTATCCACAGTAACGTATTCAGTACTGAAAGGCAATGAATATAATTTGAATTTGTTAGGATTTTCCATCTCATCAACAAATGCATTGGATTTTGATAAAAACAAAACAGAGGCACCCACCCAGCAATATAATGGATTTACTGAGGATTGTGTATTTATTTCCAGATTATGTATGGGAGTTTATACCTAGGTGAATTTAAAAGATAACCTGGTTAAACAAATGAAACCCAACTCTTCATTTACCCTGGATTTTATCTAGTTACCGAAATTCATAGAAGTTTATACTTGGTATAATAGACTTGTGCACAAATGTTTTTCAGCTATGATGACTGCATCAAATACCATTAATCTGCGCTCGAACAAATTGTTCTGCTGGGATTTACATGTGATGTCTTATTCACTTTGAATTCTCACTTTAGTAAAAAAAGGAGTATTCAAGGTGATTTCAAAGTGAATTTCACATTTATAGGAACACAAACATTTATTCCTGACCTTTTAGTGTTAAAATCACTATCCGGTCCCCGCCTCCTAAATATAGTACAATCTTACCTTTATTCCTGTCTGCTGGAATTGACTGTGCCCCTGATCTACCTTCTTGGCTGACATCATCAGAAGCAATGATCTTAGCCAATCATAATGCTTTCCCATAGGAGATTGTCAAGAAGTTGGGACAGGGGGCAGAGCCAAACCCCACTCTGGCCAATCAGCATCTCCTCATAGAGATGCATTGATTCAACGCATCTCTATAAAAAAAAAAAAAAAAGTTCAATGTATCCATGCAGAGGCTGGAGACATTGAATGTCAGTGCTGCACATTGTGCCGCACTATCCCAGGAAGCAGCTCTAGCAGCCATCTGAAAAGTGGCCAGTGGAGGTAACCCTAGTCTGTAATGTAAACACTGCCTTTTCTCTGGAAAAAAAAATCCTGAAGGGACTGATTGTACTCACCAGAACAAATACATTTAGCTGTAGTTGTTCTGGTAACTATAGTGTCCCTTTAAGATCAAAATAGTCGTATTGGAAAAAATATTTGTCAGCTATGCTTTCTGTTTGACTACTCTAGCCTTAGATTTTAAATTCACTTTGATATTAGTAAATAACCCTGACAATTTTGTTTTTCCTTTTTCTAATGAAACACTTTTTAACCCCTCTAAACCAACTGAATCCAGGGATTTTCTTAACTACATAGTGATCTTTCTTAGTGGTAACTTCTAACCACCTACTTTGTTGTGCCTATCCCTATTATAAACATAGCTGTATAAGCAAAAACTGCTACATTGGTGAATAATGCACATGGGTTGATATCACACTGGGGCATAGCCAGTTATAATATTATTTACAAAGACAGAATTGTTCATGTTTATTATGTGTTGATGTGGCTGATATGCATTAATTTCCCTTTTAGGTTTGATGTTATTTTGGACAACATTGGTGGACCAACTGAAAAACTTGCTCTTCAGTTCCTTAAGCCATGGTCCGGAGCCAGTTTTGTCACACTTGTAACTCCATTTTTGTACAACAACGATAGGCTGGGTATAGCAGATGGAATGATGCGTACTGGGATCACTCTAGGTTCAAAAGTGATGAAGGTAAGCTTCGATGCTAAGAATCTTGCATCACAAAATGGAATGTCTAATAGACAAATGGAACCTCTGGATCACTTCCTCTAAGATAAATCTATTACTTGCTTTAAGGGTTATTCACACGTTTATTTACTGAAGTGATATTCAAAGAGAATTTCAAATGTAAGGCCAGAGAAGCTGAAGTGATAGCATAGCTACCTTTTTCCAGAATTTTTCCAGTTTGGCTATATTGTCCTTAAATTTGAAATTTACTTTAAATTCTTACTTGATTAAATAAACCTATAAACCTCAAATTGTCGTCAATTAAAATTTAAATTTAGGCAAAACAAAATTCCACCTTTGCAGTAGTCAGAGATTGAGTATTTGAGCTCAATGAAGTGGTCTGGGTGCCAGGTCCATCTAGGGTTAACCCTGCAGCTGTAAACATAGCAGTTTCAGAGAAACTCCTATATTTACATTAGGGTAAATCCAGTCTCTAGTGGCTGTCTCACTGACAGCCGCTAGAGGTGCTTCCGCGGTTCTCACTGTGAAAATCACAGGGAGAAGACGATGGACGTCCATAGGAAAGCATTGAGAAATGCTTTCCTATGGACTGTTTGAAGGCGCGCGTGGCTCTTGCCGCGCATGCGCATTCAGCGCTGATGTCGGCCGAGGGAGGACAGTTCTCCAGCGCAGAGGGAGCCTGGTGCTGGAGAAAAGTGTTTAACCGCTTCAGTGCCCTTCAGCCCAGCGGGAGTGGAACCCTGAGGGTGGGTGGGACCTAAAGACCCTATGGTGTCAGGAAAAACAAGTTTGTTTTCCTGGCACTATAGTGGTCCTTTAATGTCAGCTTGCTATTTTGGCCTGAGCATACAGAATATTTTTTTGTGACGGCTCACTGAATCTAGAAACCTATAATACTTTTCTGCTTCTTCATTTGTAGACCAGTAACAATACAGAGTATCCTCAAAATTGTATCCTTTGTGTTCCATTCTCCTATATTATGACAGAGTGGTAAAAACTGCCCATGAATAGTGTGTTGCTCAATGTAACTAAATTAATGCTAGAAGAATTGGAAACCTTTAAAGACTAAGATAATAATCTCTATGATAATTTCAGTAAAATATGCCTCTAGGTTTTTATCTTTAGGACACGGTACAGTCAGCCCAATATAGAAACTTTCAGGTGCACTATGCTTGATCCTGGGGTAAATATTCAGGCAAATTTGAACTTTGAGGCAAGTCACAAATTAAACACAAACACTCTGGGGCTCTCTTATATCTTGCTTGGTGTACTAGCTCAGCCCAAATACCTCGACATAAAATCACAGTGGTTCCCAAAAGTATTTGGCGATTTCCCAGTTGTGTTTAAGGTGGTTTTAGAAAAAAAGTTTAAAAAAATAAATAAAAATCTTGGACACAACTAGGTAATCCCTAAATCATGGACTGGTAGGGGTGCATCAATGACTAGTTTGGGAACCACTGCAATAACACATAAAGACCTTGGAAGTCACATTATCCCTGGAATTCTGCGTATTGTAGTTGAGTTCTCTTGTTACCATAGTTGCCAAACATGACAAAGCCGGCTTCAGCATTCAAAGAGAGTAATGTTGTCACTGGATTTAAATCTCAAGTCTAAACTCTGTCACTCTAGTTCAATGTGGACAATCTTCCACCTGACATCTCCCTGGTGAATTGAAACCGGAAATACAAATAATTGAGAGCATTATAATACAGTATAATGAAAAATACATCATGCATATATGTGTCAATATTGATATATTCTCAAAGTATTAACATAACCTTTTTCTCAGAAACCTCAAAGTGTCAATTGTCAAAATGTGTATGTGTATATGTATTTTTGTTACCTCCCCACTCCAGCTGGTAAGACAGGAAATTAAGAAAGACTTGGTGTACTTCTAAATCTTCAGTTTTTTTGTCTTTAACTCTACGACAGGTGCTGTTTCTTTTATTGACACAGATCCATTTTCTTTTTAGCTCAGCTGGTCACACTTTATTGTAGACCTCCCAGACATACCCCTCTAGTATTTTGGGGCTCTCCTTAAGTCCCCAGGATCCTTGGTTTGAGGCAGTGATGCTGCTCAGAAATAAAAATGTTTTTTAAAAATCACTATGTAGTAGATATACCACCAATAAAAACATGCATGCGTTTCATTATGCATTATTTTTTTTCGTTGGGGTATAACAGCCTGCAAAATGTGTCTGCAGCCTTTGGAAGTCATCTTTCTTCCCCAGCTCAGACTTTCTGTGGCTGTCCAATCACAGACTTACCAATGCAGCTACTAAAATCTGTACTTTTTGTAAAATGAAAAAAAGAGGACACGATGTTCACACATAAAGCTCTTCAGCAAGCCAAATTGCTTTACGTGTGTGGTGATATCCTATAAAAGGAGATTCTACGCACCATAACCGCTTCATCTGACAACACTTCAATGAAGTGAAATCTATATTGACAGATTTGTGGTTGGTGGTAGTCTCTCTCCCCTCTTTAATTTCACGGATTTGTAGTAAGGATGTCTGCACATTCACGGTTAGCCATGCTGTTGGGGCAGCCCATTTGTGTTGATTGGTTGTTCTTCAAAACCCTGTGGGCAGTACTATGTTTGTGAATAAAAGAGGCTGTATGTGCCATTACAATCAGTTCTTCTTTACCCTTCAAAATGTAGCATTGTCTCGTTATTGGAGGGAACTGCTATAATCACACTGGGGATTGCTATGCTCTGCATACTCCCTTGAGCTTTAATCACTTAGCTCTTTTAAGAGCTTGTTTCTGATACGCTCTCCTGGAGGAGAGGTCTTCCCCACATGGTCCTGGAGGACAGAAGCTGATCCAGGGTGGACAGAAGACCGTGAGACTTCAGTTAAGCTATGGCGGTTGTGGAGTCTGCGGTGGTTGTGGTGGTCCGGTGCTTGTGATCCTCGGCGCAGGCTAGGAAGCGTCCATCAACAGAAGGTACTCAGTCGGAGTACGGGGAGTTCTGTTACACCTTATTAAGACAAGAAAAAATAAATCACATCTAATACATTCTTTAAGGTGTCTGAAGCGTTTGATAATTGTCAAGGGATATTGGAGTCTTCCATTTTCCTCCCTTCACTGCTGCAGGTCTTTGGGTTTCTTCATGCAGGCCCAACGCTCACTTCTTGTTTGTCACCAAGGTTGGACCACCCCTCCCCTTCAGTAGTCTTGAGGTAAAATATGCTTGAAAGTCTAGTATCCTGCTGCCCCTTCTACACCTGCAGAGATCTGGGGTAGAAGAGCCCAACATCTGGGAATCAGCCCACAAAGCCCCCACCCCCTCGCAATTCTGCTGTCTCTTACACAAAACTATTTGTTGCTTGTGACTCTGGCCTTAGCCCGACAAGTGTCAGATGTTCAAGTTTTGTCTACTGAGAAATTATTCACAGCCTTTTTTTTAATGATTAAATCGTGATATGTCCCATGGTCCCATGTCACAGTTCCTACTTAAGGTAGTGTCTAACATTCCACCTGAATTTGATAATCATCCTCCCTGCCTTTTTTTCCCCCCAAGTTCCCACCCTTTGGTTTTTATTGACTTACTAATAGACTGAAGATCTAGGGAAGGCGATTTCTTCATTATACTAATTCTTTCTTAATCCCCTTAATGACGCATGGTGGAATTATTCCATCATGCTGTATTATACAAGCAGGGACTGTTTTGCTACTAGTAACAAGGAAATCCCAGCTATTATTAGACAATGTCAGCTGGACTAGAATTGGAGGCTCCACATTGATAGATGGGTTCAATGTGAACACTGCACTCTGCTCTTTTAATATGGGGTTTGAAATTTCCCAATGGTACAGCTTAGTGTGACGAGATACCCTTGTCATGCTGCAAAGAGCAGGTAGATGGTGGCAACAGAACACTCTGTTTTTAGGTTAGAATTCCCTTTGCTAATATCAGTACTGATATTAAAAGATGGAAATCCTTGGGAATGGGTTTGTGTGTATGATTAGGATTTGGATTGGTTCCAGCAAGTGAATCCCTCTGCTGAAATAAGCAGAGTGAATACTTCTAACTCTAGGGTTTAGGATTAGGATTGAAACTTTCCAAAGGTATACAGATTGGTTATTGTTGTACTCAGGAGTTGTTGCTGAGTATAGATAAAATAATTTCATGACTATGGGGCACATGAGATTTAAAAAAATAGGCAGCAAAAATACATTGTGTATCTAAAAATTAAGACTGCAAACTTTGAAAACAAAAATGGAACCCCAGTAAGGCTAAAAATATATAATGTGAGATTCCCTGTGGTGTCTACATTTGCAAATGGTAAACATTTATAGAGTCATTTTAATGTGAGCTTAAAATGCACAAGAGACCCATCTTCAATTTGTTGTTTAAAAAAAAAATGATAATAAAATAAACTGCACTAGGCACAGAGATATAACTGAGCACAATTTGTTGAGTTTTTTATTTTTATTACATTGGCACACATCAAGTGTACAAAATAAACAGGTACATTTTAACCGAAAAACTGAAAATAAAATACCATGAACTTTGAAAAATTGGTGCTAAAATGGCTGTGTAATAAAGCTATATTAAGGAAATATACTATGGCCTGTGGTGTCTACTTTACATATTATTCTAAAATCATTCCACATTGAAATCTTATTTTACTTCTTGTATTTTGCGACCTGTAACTACATGTAACTATGAATTCATTATCCTATCTTTTTTTTTTTTCACATGAGTTTATTTGGCTCTCATTTTCTTTTTAAGCATTTAAGCAAAGGAATTCATTACCGATGGGCGTTCTTTACAGCCAGTGGGCCATCCCTGGATGAAATAAAGGATCTGGTGGAAGCTGGAAAGGTATGCACGTACATGTAAAGGGACTGTATAATTAAACCAATGACACATTTTAATGCATTATACAGATAATGTACTAAAGAAAATTGCAACAAAATCAAATTAAAGAGAATCTCATTATTTTTTTATGGGGACTGATCTTATTCCCTAAACCGCTGTGCAGCAGAAGTGTTAAGGAACACGATGGTCATTTTAATGTACACAGTGCCTTTTCAGAGAGAATGCAGTGTTTACATTGCTGCCTAGTAACACCTCTAGTGGTCATCACTCAGTCGGCCACTAGAGGTGCTACCTGGGTCAGTGCTTCACAATGTGCAACACTGATGTTCAGCTTCTTCAGACTCTGCATGGAGGCTCTGAACATTCCCCATTGAATCAATGCATCTCTAAGAGTAAATGGTGGTTGGCGCAGTGTTGCGTTTTCCTGCGCATGCGCAAAAGATTCCCAATGCTTTCCTATGGGAAAGCGTTGGATTGGCTTAGACCAACAAGTTTAATTATCCACGGGTGGAGCGAGCCGCAGTGGATCCACGCAGCACAAGGAATTAAGGTGAGTAAAATCACCTTTTACATTGATTACAGTGGGGGTGGAAACCTAAATAGTGTCATTTCAGCTATAGTGACAGCAATACATGTTTGTATTCCTGTCACAATAGTGTTTCCCCCAACAAGCATTTCCACTTATCTCATAGGAGGATTGGAACTGCTCAATAAACTAACAACCATTCCACAGCTGCTACTTTGTTTATGCACAGACGTGTTCCAGACTGTCTGATTGACAGCTTTGCTGGTTTCTTATAGTAATGCCATCTTTTCCAAAGAACACAAAAATGAGAGTGAGCTCAAGGTCCTCTAAGCACCATGTGCTTAAAAATAAATAAACTCCACTATGCAATTTGCTTGAACCTTTCATCATACTAATTTGATAAGTTACAGGTACCCTGAAAGTTACATATCTACAAATGTTACGTGCACTAGAGATATACACAGAGCGAGCGATAGATATCATTATTTTATCTGTTTTCCATATAAATCTTTGGGTTTTTTATGTTCTTATTTTCATCAGTTCTTATAAATGTTGCCAAAGATATTTTATCCTCACACTTTTGCCTAGAGTTTTATTTCTTCTGCATGCTCTGTATCAAAACAGAAGCAAACACATACTTCTGTTTTATTACGGCCAGCTTTGTGGGTGTTTATATCACTGTTAGTATCGCTGTACAAACATCACTTTCCATCAGATAATTCCATGGTTTGATTCATGCGGCAGACAGCTAGGATGCAAGGGCAAGTTAACTCTATACGGGGGTTGATGTTTCACGTAAACAGATGTATATTAGTCCTTCTAATCCCTGCTATCTCTGTAGAATTTAGTGTTAATCCTTTTTCCCCGAACAAAACAAAAGTATCCCATGCTAGGAGACTGACGTGAGTCTGTAAATAGACTGTGTTTTCATTATTCGTTTAATCTCCTTTAATCATTACATATTCAGCATGCAGCAGTCCTCTGTCGATTTTGTTGCCTTAATACAGGAAGGATTTTCATCTGATTCAGTCAATTTTAGCAGCGGCTGAATGTTATGTTGTCCTGCTCTCTGGTCAGCCTTTTTAGGATTAGCCCAACAATGAATGCAATCAATAGAAAAGGCACAGTTCTGTAATGCTGAATATAGCCGAGATAAACAATTTGGGGTTCATGTCTCTGGGCATAACTAATGACTGGACTGGACTGCTTCTGCAATGCAGAAAATGGTCTGTTATTGCAGAAACCTGACCTTATTCCATTTACAGCATACTATCAGGGTTATCCACTAAAATGAGAATGTAAAGTGAATTTCAAACTTAAGACCAGAGTGGCCACACTGAATGAAGAGCTGACTTAGAGAATTTTTTCAGTTTGGCTATTTTGACCTTAAATTTGATCACTTTAATGAATAACACAGATTATGTGCTTTATATATATATCGTAATAATAAATGGTGGTTCGCATACTGGCCTGCTACATATCAGAGTTTGGGTGATGAGTGCTGCTGCTATGGGAGATATCACTGTTCTCTAGTCTTTCTAGATTACAAATGCTTTTCAAAAATATGGTCCTGCAGCTATTTTGTGTCCAAGCTCTCATAAACCTCTATTAACTGCATCTTGTTTTGCACTGGTAACAGTTTAAAGGTGGTGTATTTATATCTTCGGTGAACTTTATTTTTCACTATTGTATTTATTGAACATTGTGAAGGGATCCTGGAATGAATTGTGTTCCATAAGACCCAATACAGTCACTGCTATTATTTTGTTTATTATTATTATTATTTGTAGACACACTCTAGAACCGGGGTACTCATGATAAACCCTTGCAAACAATTTTCTGTGTTTTTGCCTGTCATGTTTATGGGAATTGTAGTTTCTTTAGCAGCGGCTGGTTCATATATAATTCTATGTACATTAACACACATTACACATGTTATGAACATTCACGGCAATAAATCTCTCCTCCTCTCCCTGGTCCTTCGTTTCTCTCTCCTCCTTTACAGATCCGTCCCGTCATTAATAAAGTGTTCTCATTTTCTGATGTCCCCAAGGCTTTCCAGAAGATGGAAGAAGGTCATGCACGTGGGAAAACAGTCATTCAAGTTTCTGAATCTAGTTAATAAATGATCATTTTTGTACCATTGGAGAATTATGACATTTGTTTGGGGAATTTCCCATTCTTGGAAAATGGTGATTTATTTAAAATGTATTGTTATTTTTGTTCTTTACATAAAGGCTTATATGCGGATGTTGGAACAAATATTCTGAATTACTTCTCCATTTACAAAAGAAATCCATTAATACGTTACAAAGTCCCGTAAGTTTCTTTACGCCAGCCCGATTAGGTTTCATAAAAATGTCCATCTGCAGTTATCAGGTTTCAGGGAACTTTCTAAAGATATATTGTTTAAATACTAGCAACAATACACTGAATTTTCTTTTGTATATGTTTTTTGATCACTTTAAGGGGAACCTGTCATATATAGTTAGCTGATGAATGTTCCTTTTTCTCCTGCTCCTTTGTGATCTGTGCTGTAGGAAAGGGATTCACACAAAGAAATCCTATTATTTACTGTGACTATAGAACAGAGGTAAAGACTAGCAAATCATAATTTGCATTAAAGAATACTAGCATATATTATTCTCTAAAAATTGATTCTGGGTTAAGTAAAGCTGTTGCTGACGTTTCTGGATAGAAGTTAAAAAGTTAATCCACCTGCTCATTCCTGCTTTGTAGTCTTCATAACCCTAATATGTATTGTAAATGTGCAACTAGAGAACCAAACCTGGCTGAACACTGTATTCCCCAAAATGAAAGGGGAATGTAAAGCCAAAATCCTAGCCTAGTGAGACGCCTGCAGTAGTAACCCTCACTCCATTTCCACACACTGTGCAATTCTTAAAGCAGGACTTGACAAATTTGCTTGGAATCTATACCCAGCTAAAAAAAAAGTTAGGAACAATTTTAAGAAAAACAAACCAAGCATAATTTTCAAAAAAAAAAAAACTTCTTAAAGGGACTTAATCACCAAAACTACTACTGATGAATGTAGTGGTTCTGATGTCTATAGCCTGTCCCTGCCCTGCAATCTTTTCAATGTAAACACCGCCTTACAGAAAAAAGGCACAATGCTACCTAGTGACACCTCTATTGGCAGTCACTGAGAAAGCCACTAAAGGTGATTCCTAGTCCAGTGCTACGTTCAGCGTCTCCAATGCTCCCCATTGAAATGAATTAAGTCAATGCATCTCTATGAGGAGATGCTGATTGGCCAGCGAGGCATTTTGCCGCACATATGCAATAACCTCCCAATGCTTTCCTATGAGACAACATTGGATTGGCTGAGATCATCAAGGTTGATGATCTCAGCCATGGAGTTGGTTCAAGCCACAGAGAGACCAGCAGGGTGTAGGAAAAAAGGTGAGTAAAAAAGCCTTTCCCATGCGGTCACCTAAACAGATACACTCACTTTCAGCTCCCTTGCTGCCCCGGCTCCACTCTCCCGCAGTCGGCCAGTTCCATTATGCCTCGCCGCTAAAAGGGCTGAAGAATCACAGGCACCAGGACAAAATTTCTAGTTGCCTTGGCACCTGGGATTTGTTGAGCCCTTTCTTAAAGGACCGTGCTAGCTATGTGGTTGCTTAACCCCTTCCACACAAAAATAAAGCTCAAAATATAAGTATAGTTGTAGTCTTCAAAATTCCCTACTAAGTATGACAAGATGTTTTCTCCATGATCAAAATCCAAAGAGAGTCATCAGCATCCCAGTAAAATCACAAAAAGCCCTGCAAAGAATATTTTCCCTGTGGGCAGGTGAAGTGATCATAAACTGGGCAGAAGTTACCCAGGTGCTGTAGATTAGGGGGAATGTATTTTATACAAAGTTAAAAGTTTCAACAACACCACAAACAGAGGATGCCAAATGCTCAGTCATGAAAGATTCAGCCATGTCGGGATCACCTGGTCACATACAGGAAGAACATTCCCCAGCTCATGACTCTGTAATCTACAAAATATTATTATTTACATAATATATCTGCTTATTCTTTTAGTGAGGGCCGCTGAGCACCTATCACATGCCTGTAGGTGCCCTATTCTTAAATTTCATGAAAAAAGGGGTGTTTACGGTACAGCCATGTGGCGTTTGATGATAGATAAAAAAAAACAAAAAACTGTATTAGCTTTGATACATTATGAACTATTTAGTAAAGTGCCTACTCTTCCTGCAAGACATTTCCTTTTTGAGAGGCTGTTAGTGGGCAGATACAGATGATCCCTTCCACTTCCTCTCCAGCCTCATACACAGACACTGGAGGAGCTGGGGGCAGCCCTGAGTTTTACACCCTCTAAATCTAAACAGTTCCTGAAGCTCTGCTATGAAGCATAGGGGGGTGACTAGACTACAAGGGACACTGGCCAAGGTTCCTTTTGTAACTCAAAATTTCATCAACGATATAGCACATATTAAAAATAGAGAAACACACAAACGTGTGACCTTTTTATTCCCAGGGAGTGGGCTTCATGTGTTCACTAAAGTCTCCCCCTTCCCCCTCTTTCAGTTTCTTAAACAAATGCCTATCTTTACTTTGTCTGTCTTTTTAAAGAGTTAAGTATTTCACAGCACTAATTCAGCAACTCACATGGAGTAACATTATTCAATTGAAACACCTTTGTCCATTTGTGAGAAAGTAATTCAGTGAACCGGAAACTTGTTTCACTGGATATATAGAGGACCAACACCTGTAGCGTAAACTGATATTTCAAGATCCTCATCAATGCTGCTCCCAGGAATTGGGTGTGAAGTTACAGAGAGGCCAGCTGGTGCATGAGTTCCCTGCATTTAGAATACAAGGTCTGTACTGTGACTGTGCCATGGAGAGAGAGAATACATTAATTTATTAGTCCATGATGGAGCACTTCCCAAGAATACCTAGTTTTGAACATATAATGGCATGTTACAAAAAGTGCATGGATTGTGTTATAAACATAAAACAAAAAAAACATAAAAGCACAAAAATAGTAAATATGTAAATAATGTTTATCCATTTAAAAACAAACACAATATAACTACTTATGACCGTATACCTACAACTACTCTGGAGAGTGATGTAAAAGCATGTATTTATTGCAACAAATAAATACACCCATGGCTGGATGGCTTTAGATGGATAATGGTGAAGTCTAACTTCCTCGTTATCCATCGTTACAATGAACTGCAGTGGTTAAGATGTGAAGAAGGGGAGGGGGCAGGAATCATGCAAGCAGCAGGGTTTAAAGGCATGTATTTCATTCTGTTAATAAACTAATTAGATGGCACAGTAAGCCCCTTTTACCTCCCAGAATGGTTGGTGTATAATCAAGCTCTGCCTAGAACTCAGTCCCTGAATATTTATAGGGACTCTCCAGTGCCAGGAAAACAAACAGTTTTCCTGGCACTGCAGGTCCCCTCTCCCACCTCCCATCCCAGGTTGCTGATTAGGTTAAAACCCCTTCAGTAACTTACCTGTATCCAGCACCTCTGCACTGGGTCAGGCTCCGCCAACTCTCCTCCCCAGCCAGCGGGGGAGACCTAATGCGCATGCGCGACAATGGCTGCGTGCATTACACCTTCCATGATTATTTAATCATGCTTTATTTAATGCTTTCCTATGGGGATTCCGGTGACGCTGGAGGTCCTCATGCATTGCGTGAGGACGTCCAGCATCTCTTAAAACACTAAAAGTGTTTTAAGAACCCGGAAGCTCCTCTAGTGGCTGTCTCGTAGACAGCCACTAGAGGAGGACTTAACCCTGTTACGCAATTAGTGCAGTTTATGAAAAACTGCACTAATTACACTTACAGTGTTAAGGGTAGTGGGAGTTGGCACCCAGACCACTCCAATGGGCAGGAGTGGTCTGGGTGCCTGGAGTTTCCCTTTAACGCCATCATTAGGGGAGAAAACTTTCCAGCAATTGAACATATATTTTTCCACTTTTTTTTTTTTTTTAACACATTTGAGCCAGCTAGAAAGAAATGAATTGTAGCTGTTTTGGTTTATGATTTCAGAGGGATACTTCTATGGATTATAAATGAGGGTCATTTAAAAAGGAAATGTCACTTCCTCAATTCTAGCACTTCCTAATAACTAGCTATTGATTGTGCTCTTTTTATTATATTTGTCTTTTGTTTTTTCATTTTACTTCTGTATAAATTAGTTAACATCTGATGTGCCACATGCACAATATGTACTCACATACATCACTGTTGGAAAAAATGCCAAGCATACAGCACGTTAGATGCAATGGTCATCATTCGTCACTACAACACAGAAGCAGAGCCGAGATAATTTTTTATTTATTTATTTTTTTTCCTCTATTTTAAATTTTTGCTAATGTGAGGGGAAAAGAAACTGTCATTTTTCTGGGCATCACATGTCCTCTTTAAAAGGGGCATATAAGTGGTCTGGATGTATATTCCCAAGTCCCTTAACGCTGCAGTGGTAATTATTGCAGTTTTTATGAAACTGCAATAATTACATGTGTGGGTGAACTTCACCTCTAGTGGTTGTTTACCAGATAGCCACTAGAGGGAGTTCCAGGTCGTTAGGCAACTTTTGGTCGACTAATGCTATGCATCAGCGTCCTATGGGGAAAGTACTAATACAAGTGTAGTGAAGCCCTAGCAGTACAGAGGAAAATCGGCGCTGGACTCAGATAAGTGACAGAAGGTTTTTTTTAATCCCTTCTGCACCATGGGAAGGGGGATAGGATTTTAACATAGGGGGGCACCACAGGGGCTATAGTGCCAGGAAAACAACTTTCTCTTTAATGACTCTATGGAAATGATGTCAAAAGCAAAATAGTGAGAGGTCCTCACACGTCATTAGAACAGTTAGCAGTAAGGGAGGTAGATAGGAGCCCGGGTGTCTGGTGAGGTTTTCAGACTTTGTAGTGTTGTAGTGTCTTTCTCATAGAATTGGACTCCACCTCTTTCTCAGTAAACCCCACTTTGTGACCCGCTGCACTTATCCCAGTTAAACCCCATGTGTGATGTACTGCATTCCCGACCAAAGAAACGTCACAACCTGTTCAATACCATAAAAATAGAAATGGATATGGAAAAATGTTTGTAGCGAACCCTGGCTAACCCGACCGGTTACCTCTGCTAATCTCTTCCTTCAGCCGCACAGGAACCACTCAGAAAAATACGAGACCCATTTCCCCCCCAGTAACTGGACAAGACACAGCTTTGGGTGTACAACAATTTTATTGCCACACACGGCTTTTATGCATAGACCCATGCAAGGGGTCTTCAATGCATACAAACAGTGGTTGTATCTCAGGATCCTCTATACTTGGGGGGGTTCGCTGTTCGTTTGTTTTCCAAATATGGAAAGCCTGCCACGCAGATGAGGGGTCTCCCGCACAGGATGAAAGGG